TTGGTAAGGAACCTGGACAAACACTGCATCATTGACATAATTTTATTAAATAATTATAATAGTCTGCAAATGTCTGACAATGGCCGATGGATCTCTGCAGAGAAGTCTTTAAAGTGAAAAAGAAGAGATAAGGAGTAAGATACATGTGGTTTCTACTGCAGACATGATTTTGAGACAAAAGAAGCAAATTTACACAATAATGAGTGCAAGGAAGAAGCTAGACAGATAGACAGAAATGACAGAGGGAAAGAAAATAAGTAGGACCTACAAGAGATACCCTCCAACGACCCGCACTATGGACACGGGCAGCTCAGTTATCATTACAATGACTAAATGTAGTTGACTTCTTGTGTTTGGGAATCCTAATGTGTACTGGATCCTCCAGATCCAGCTTCCTTTCGTTTTAGTTTTAGTAAGTATTTTACAGAACTTGGACCACAAATAGGTCATATCATAAGTATGGAAGACGGGAGGAGGAGACACGATAGTAACACACAAATAAATGAAGGAACGAGGAGAGGTACATGTAAGGACGACAGATATTTGATAGGAAAGGAGGAGCCGCACCTGCAAACTACCCACTCGCCAACCACACCTTTGTTTGAAACAAAGAAAAAAATTCAAACATATTGGTGAAAAGAAAGCATTCTCAAAGGACATGTTAAATGATGAATCCTTATCACATACTTGGAATGCCATACATAGTAATTTTAGTCTGAGCCAAAAAGCACAAAAGGATTAACAAGAGCTTCTTTGAATAAGTGTAAATCACAAACATGGGGATGCCAACTGAAGAGCATATCTCCTTCTTTGAATAAGTGTAAATCAAAAATGTGTTGTCAACAGAAGAGAATATTTGCCGACCTGAAGTCAAATGGAACAACAATCTCAATTTAACATTCAACGAACAGATTACACTCAACACTTCACATACGTTATGCTTTTTGGAAGACAAGGCACCGCATCATTACAGTTGAGCACTCTTAACCCAACCAATACAACTTCTGAGATCTTGATTTTGACTTTTTTTAAAATCTCTCTGCACCTAACCTTGGTACAGGATTGATTTTGAGCAACATTCCAAACAAAAAATGTATAACTCGAGCCCAGTTTTCACTGCAGGGTGGTCAAATAGAGTTAAGTGGGATGCAGAGTATGCCAACAGCAGTTCTTTTCTAAAAGTTTTCAAGCAGGTTTTGGAAAAAATGGAAATGGTATAGGTTTACCGCCCCTATCAACACTATTAGGTTATTTAAGGGGCGGGACCTCCTAGTTTAACGTCCGTCTCCGATAGGACCGAGCCAAGTGGGAAGCTCGTGTAAAGTGCCTTTCCCAAGGACACAACGTCAGACCGAGCTGAGGCTCGAACCCCCGAACTCACAATCTCACGATTACGAGTCTGGTAGCCTAACCACTAGGCTAACGACACCCTCAGGTTTTGGAACAAACACTGACACATATTGTTGACGAAGAGCGAGTGACAGAACGCATAGGTCATGGTAGTCATATTCAAAGGTCTCATTGAAAAAAAAAAAGAGCCCTTACTGTCACAAATTCAAGCCTCAAACAGTCAAAATACGACAAGTGGTTAGGAGAGTCACATTGAGCTGTTCAGTATTTTGGCTCGCTCATTCTCCAACTCAACATCATCATTACTATTCATTACAAAAGTAAACATTCCGGATTCAGATAGAACTACATCAGTGCAAAATGTTATACTCAAATAATTATAAATAGCAAACCAGAACAGGATCACGAGACCAGAAGAAGACTGAACTAAATTTGCTCCGCCATACCTCTAATCACATTGCCGAGTGTACCAAATACAAGATAGCCTTTAAACCAAAAAGCACTGAATATCAAAACAAAGCTAGGATTTCATTTGGTATGAGGCTACTGCAGATGTCATACCAGGCAGTGGGTAATCCAGTATATGCACAGTGAAACCTCCAATTCTTCTTGATCCGATTAATTACGAAATCATATATGTAGAGCTATAAATATATTTGTGTACCGTACATACAATTATGTTGAGAAATGGAGTATCAGAGCTCCCCCCCTTTTTTGTTGTTGTTGAATGAAATAGGACCTACAAATGGCACCTTGCAACACCAACTTTCGAAAAGTAAAGCATAACCCCTGATGAGCTCGCCCACAAGACAACAACCCCCCCCCCCACTTCCCTCCCCAGTATTATTCCCATTCACAATTTCATAACTGTATTCTTTTCTCATTCATTGCATGGCTATCATGAACCCACCCCAGCAGGGACTGAACATACTTTCTCTCAATCAATCACTATTTATATTACAAATCACACTATTCAAACAAAACAGGGTCAACATAACCCATGCAAAAGTCAGCACGCTAGCACCATCATATTTATGAACCAAAGAGAATGAAAATCGTCAGGTTTTCCCCAAGCACATCGTTCATGGATACAGAACTGTAATTTCAGTTATTCTCCAAAGCAGTGCTGAACCCAGAAAAAAAGTAAAAGATTTCCATTTGTACCTCATAATCATTATCCGGGACACTTTGATAGATCTTGTACACACACTGTGGAGTCCTCTCAAAATGAACATATTATTTTGACCACACTTGTAGTAATTCAAACAAAATGTTATGTTATCAGTTTCAGGCGGAGAAGAAAAAATAGACTATTATAGACCCTTTATAATCATGCTTACCTTCCACTGAATACAAATTCATTTAACTCCATAGACATTGACGAATGTTTTCTAAAAAATGTACTATTATATTATATATATAATATACAGAGACAGATCCAAAAAAAGTAGTTCCAAAACCCCAACAGCTTAACGAAAAATTTCCTTCTTGACTGTGTTAACATTAGTGACTGGAATACAGGAGAGTGTAATGAAATGCTTCTACGTGCAATGAACTGCTTGCACTATGACTAGGTAGGCCTACATCATGGCTGATTTATGTGCAGACTAGAAGGCTTTTAACCCTTCAAGTGTCATTGACAGATAGCCTGTGGTATCGTCATGCGATATTTATATGATTTCAACATAGTATGATGGAAAATGCTTGAGAATGGACAGACCAAGTAAGTAAGGCCATACACTTTCATGCAGACGGTAAATAGGAAGAATAGCTTCTTTGAGAAAAAGTTGAAATGTTTGACGATGTAGAAAAACCCCCAGAATTAACAAACCCAAATAGCCACTCAAATTATGGCAGCGATGAAATCAGTTGTGACATCACAGAACAAAACTTACAGCTGATTTAATCAGCCATCAACACTTGAAGGGTTAAAAAACAAAAACAGTACGTAGTGGTCAAAGGCAGGGCATGACAAGAGAAAAACCAACGTTTGGTATCAAAATAAAAGTCAAAAGAGGCAAGAGCTTTGTTCTCATGGAGACAAAACCTGTCCAAGTCAACATGCAGCCATTAAGGATGACAACTTATGCAAAGTCACAGTCACCAAATATTCAAAAAATGATTTACAAAAGAAGCCATCTCATAATTTTGAACATTTTCTCAAACAAAAGTTGTTTTCTTTTTTTAAAATGAGGAACCAAAGAAAAACAATGCTCCTTATCATTGAAACACATTACTTCCATATTTGTCCGAAACTATAATATGACATCTATAAACTAGGGCTACCAGATGTTTAACATGTTGCGGATTAAAAACAGCAACATGTTCGACAATGGATGGGAAGACCTCCAACATCAAACACGGATAGTGTTAAATCTGACACAGGTCCACAACTTTATCATGAAATATGAGGAATCGTGGTGAAATCAGGCACTCGTCAAAATAACGAAATTGGAGAAACAGGCATTTTTCCACGAGTAAGGCAATAATAAGAGAACTGACATAATAAGGGTCTTGAACATCTAGCTCTCACTGGCAAAATTGAAGGCAAACGAGGCATGGGTAGCCCAGAACAATCTACTTGGGGAACCTAAACAAATGGGTAACAGGGAAAGATCAGGGAAACGTAGCTTTTTTGAGAACATCCGAGCAAAGGAATGAATAGAGAACCATGATCGCCGATGTCTGTTGCAGATCTGGCACAGGATGACGATGAAGGCAATTTTTATCGATGAACATAAAAACGGAGATTAAGGCACAGGATATGTCATTTTTCTGTTGTCAAGGACTCTTTGGCTATTGGAGTTACCAAACTTTGGCACCAAACTTAGGTGGCCATTTTCTCGATAATTGATCTCACCTCCTTCAATCTCAAATATCTTGACTTCTATTCAAGATATATGGGTACTCTTTTCATTGAAAGCAAAACAAGTTAAACGCATAACCTTTCAGATGATACCAACAACTCCACATGCCCAAAATTTGACGAGTGCCAGATTTCCCCGCGTCGTGACACAAATAGTACAATGCAGCAGAGACTGGAGAAGACACGGACGCCTGTTGTGGCAAGGGGTGGGGCCGCGGCGGACAAACAAAAATGGCCACGGTAACACGTGGCAGGTGGCGGTCAGGTCTCACACACACACACAAACATATCGCTGCCAGCTGTTCAGATGTAGTAAGCCCAAAGTGTGGAAAATGTTTCAACGTGTAGTTTCTTAATCTGTGGTATCAGTAGCATGTGCTCATGAAAATACATCTTGTCAAGTTCAAATATTAAATGATGAAAAAAAAAGCAAGAAACGATACCATACATGGGTACAATTGTTAAGACATTTCAACAGCTTGCAAATGATCTTAATACCTGAAAAAGTACCCTAACCTTTTTACCACAGTGCAATCATTGAAGCAACTAAATAGCAATCACATGTCTCAACAAAACTTTTGCAGTAGTAAGTAACAACTGTGAACAAGTTTCATACTGAAGAATCATATCACACAACATTTTTTCAAATCTTTGTACAGACTACAACAGCAGTTTCCACACATTTACCCACTGAATGAGTAAAGCATTTTACCCTGGCAAGCCCAACAACAATTGATATTATGCATTATGTCATGGGTGAAATTTTTGTCCAGAATTTTTCTAATTTTGTTTTTCGCCCCATTCTCCTCAAGAGGGAATTCTCCATCATGTACATGACGACATGAAGCTTTAATCAATAGGATTTTTTTTTGGTCTATAAATCTGCTGACCTGACTTGCATACTAGCAGATTACATCTACAATATGCTAAGAATCAGTTACATACATTCACAAATCAACTAAAATAGTTATAATTTTGTCGTTATTCATCCTCTTCAGTTCGTGTTAGACTAAACACACTTCACTAAAGCCATATAATGTGATAAAGCTTTCAGTGCTGAGGGTTCCAAAATTGTCAAAACTACTTACAAAAGTATGACAATGGTTCAGATTTACCTTTTCTTTTTGCCAGTTCCAACTATTAAAGAATCAATTCTACTTCAATAAAAATTCTAAAGAGCAGAATTGGACATTAGTCAAGAAACAAAATTGACCTGTCAAGTCTAGTATACAGCTTTACCTTCTAGCGACTTAAGACTCCTGTTCAACAAGCTGTACAACACATTTCTAGCTTCAAGGTCCGATTCCAATCTATATCGATATATAACAGAATACACATTGTATATTAAACATCAACAACAACAAAAAAACCCAACTGTCTACACTGTTACCCTGAATACGCTTGTCACTCACAAATCATAAGACTTTCATTAAAAAAAAACCCAGAGCAAAATCAAACGTGGGAACCCCGTAACAAGGATGTGATTCTCTAAGGCAGAAATAGACCAAGAGAAACGTTAAGAAAGTCCTGAGAGCTCCCGTGTGATCCGTCTCACAGTGAGTTTACTATATGCACCACAGCAGGAGCACCACTCGTACATTTGCCACTGTCCATTTGTTTGTTTTGTCCGTGTAAAGAGAAGCACATGGACACAAGAACGGTCACTTAGTGCTGGGAGAAAGTAAGACAGAATGACAGAAATAACAGTGGGAAAGTAAAGAAGTAGGACCTACCAGTGGTGCTCTCCAACCACCCGCGCCACTGTCCACTCCAGTGTGAAGTTTCACCACTACATAGCGAATCGCTACCTTAGAATTATTAGGTTCTATCTTACATTTTAGGTTACTAAGACCATGAAGTCAGAAACCAAATGTTCAATCTTCTCTATCAAAATCATAAGATTATTCGAAGTCATTATCAAGATATTCAAAGAACTGCTTTAGAAAAAGCTTGGCATATTGTGAAACTCAAATTTTTTTAACGTCAAATTTCTAAAAACTAGGTACTGAGCAGGTAGAACATAGTAATTCTAGGGTAGCGAAATGTTAAAACTTGCTGTCAACCAATCAGGGCCATTTCATTTGTAATCACAGTGGAGAGGTGCGAGAAGTGGACAAAGAAGAAACACAAAACTTACAGGAGGATAAATAAAGGGAATGATTCATTCCTTTTCCTTCTCTCTGATGTAATTTCTTCAACTTTCATGTTTGTTGCCATCAAGTGCTATCGGTCGTACGAGTGGTTGCCCACATTGACACCACCCCACTGCAAGAGCTGTTTGTCTGGAGTGTCATCCCAGGATTCTCCATACGGCCTCAGCTGAAAAAAAATATGTGTGTGTAAGTAAAAGAGAAGCGCATAAATTATATAGAGGCATCCATCTAGTGTTGGGACATGAATGACAACAGTGAAAAAACAAAAATGAATTGAAGAAGTTTTTTTGCCCCCATCAACACTACTAAGATCATTCAGGAGGAAGACTGCTTCAGCCCTGCCTGTAAGAGCCAACCCACACGTGCTAGCAGAAAGACTGATACTGGTCTTCTGGGTGCAATTGTAAAGCGCAATAACCACTACACCACAGATGCCAATGAGATGTAGTTGTAGCATGCCATATAAGAATTAAAAAGACAGTGAAAAGAAGCAGATAGAACAGACAACACCAGAGTGCTCTCCAGAGACCAGCTTGGAAGAAAAAAACCCTTGAAGTTTTATACCCTCATCCACACATTTCGTGTGACATCAAGATAAAATCAGGCTCTCATCAAAATCATGAAATAGAAGTAACTGACATTTTTATTATTGAATTTTTTTTTTGGCTCAGAACCTTTCATGTCCAATTAAAAACACATTTCTGTGTCGATTTTATTTTTGGGCAAGTGTTTTACGGCGCCCACAACAACACAAGGTCATATGAGCGAGCAGGACACCTTAACCCTCTGCCCCAACGGGATGCCGAGATGCGACGGTAAGAAGTCGTTCCTTTTGCCCACGGGACGCCGATCGGCGATGGTGTGATATAGCATGTACCGCACCTGTATTCTGGTCTGTGGGGGATAGGTGTTGCACGCTCTGCGTGGGTGAAAAGTGTTAAACATTTTCAGTTGGTAGGAAATTTTGAATGCCAGGCTGGTGGCCGAAGCCTACTCTTATCGATTTTAGACCACCAAGGGATCTTTAACGTGCGCAACTTGCACACTGGACCTCCGAGACTTTTCGCTCTTGTCCGAGAAGGCTAGGTGTAGATCTTTCCTACCAGAAGATCAGGGGTGTGGCTGAAAGGCAGCAGTGAGGAGCCAAGGAGTAGCAGTAGAAAGGCTGCAGAGAGAGTCAGGAGCCCAGAGGAGGGGGCAAAGGAGGTGAGGGGGTGGGGGCAGAAAGCAGATGACAGAACATTGCCAGAGAGCAGGACAGGAGGTGAAAGGAAACAATTTCAGAGAAAAAAATGTTTTCAGTCCCTACCCAGATTTGAACCCAGGACCTTTGAATGAGAGGCCAACACCTGAACCTCTAGGCCACGAGAGCCCCCGTAATGGTATTTTATCAACGTCTGCGCACGACAAAGATCCCTTGGGGGTCTAAAATCGATAAGAGTAGGTTTCGGCCGCCACCTTGGCAAAATTCAAAATTTCCTACCAATTCAAAATGTTTAATGTGTCCTGCGTGCTCATATGACCTTATGCAGCTGCGAGCGCCGTACTGCACTTACCAAAACAAAGAAATACCATTTCCACGGGGAAATAAACCTCACATCTCCAGATAAGAACAGCGAAAAGCGTAACTAACCAATACATCATAAACACAGATAGATTTAGAAGAAGGTGAGAGCAAATACAGAAAGGCTACATTGGCTCTCACCTTGCGGCCTTGTTCCCTGCTCACAGCTCCTGCCTCCCATTTTTTCTGAATGCGCTGAGCTTCCAAAGCATCGTCAGATCCACATCCCCACACCTATAAGTGATGAGGGAACATAATGCAATTATTAATTTCGCAGAGTACAGAAGAACAAATGATATTCTCGTATGAGTATAAAAGCTGTCTAAAGCTGACAAAAGAGGGTCAATACGTGGGTTAAATCTACCAGCCATGAACTCCATTCATTTGGTTGTTATGAAAGAAGTAGTGAAAAATATAACACCTACAACAACATTTTTGCCCTTCAAAAGAAAATATATAATAATGACATGTATGACTAAGTTATAAGAAAAAGCAGACGGATGAAAAAATTGCAATTACCATTTTTTGCAACACAAATAGTTCATGTAAGTGACGAAATTAGAGGTATTACTAGATAATAATATACAAAGAAAATAAGGAAGAGAGATAAGGTCAGGAGATGTTTGATGGCAAAGAATGGGCAAAAAACATCAGAGCACCCGCCAATAACCCCCACTACAAATGCTGAGTAGGTGAAACATTTAATTAAAATGAGCAAAGATATGTCAGGTCAGGAAGAACACCATTAATTTACTCAGCCCTGGGGCCAAGGACCCAGTCTACTAGCTGTGCCTTGAGGATTGAGGCGTTTTTGTAAAATCATTAAAAAAAAACCCAAACCTAACCAACTCCAATCGCCGTAATATTTCACATGCATTTTGTTTAGTAATTACATGGTCTATTACTGTTCACAAAATTAAAAAATATTTGATAGTCTGTGAGATATATCTATCTTAAAAAGGTCAGCAACAAGCACTAAAAAGTAGCTTGGAGGAAAGACCAAGACTAGCTTACATTTTCAACTTTATTACCAAGTGGTAAGTTACTTTCAAGAGTAGGTCAGGCAAGCGACCTTTACCTTTATAATAGTCTGTTTGTTATAAAAAATTTGCCATATGTATAAAATATAGTCTGTTCTTATTGGAGGTATGTTTATGTTATTAAGCAGTAGAAATCTCAATACCGATACTGTCATTTAGTTTTAGTAAGATTTTACGGCACTCGCAACTGCTTAAGGTCATATGAGTGCCAAGGGGTGGATGTCAACAGAGAAGTCCAAACGGGGAATCAGGCTTACTCTGCTCATCTCTCTGGCCTCAATAGCACAAAGGCTGCTTCAACTATCAGGAAGGGGGGGGGGGGGGGGGGGGGGGGAGAGAGGGGGCAATACTGTCGGGTTCACGGCCCAGTGCAGAAGGCAAATCCAACTGTCTCGGGGTTAGGGCTGAGTGATTTAATAGTTCAGGAAGTAAAAGCCCATGTAACATTACACCACAAAAGATTCTTTCAAAACTTTTAAGTTTTTGAGTTAGTTTGAGTACAGAGAAGCACACCAACACAAAAATGGTCATAGAAGAACTTGGACAGACAGACAGACAGAAACAACAGAGGTGAAAAAAAGGAAACAGGATCTATCAGTGGCGCCCTCAAACCATCCACAAACTGTAAACAAGAAATCAGGATCTACCTCGACCCTGTACAGCTGGCAGGAAACGCCATAGTGGGAGATGGTATCAAAGTCCTTAGGAATGCGGAGAACTTCTGCTTTGCCATCGCAACCAACAAAGATGCCTTGAGAAGAGCTCTTGGACGATTCAACCCATTTCACCATATTCTCCCCAGCTGAAAGAAATAAGTAAGAAAGACATCTAGAGTACCCAATAAGATCAATCAAAAATATGTTTTCACAGTCTTTTATGAAATGGACAAATTTGATTTTCCTTTCAGGAATATGTTATACAGTAACATATCGTCCCCCTTGTGAAATGATTAACCCACAAAATATCAATTTTTACAAATATCCATTTCATGTGACTATTCAAAGACAGGTCTAAATTTTGACGAGAAATACTCCAAAAAATGTTAAGAGAAATAAAGTCAGCCTCCAGCTTCCTGGGTGAGGAAAAAAAAAAGAATTTTGCTTCTCCTGTACAATTTACTCACTGGGGATAGCCAGTCTTATCACAAAGGTGAGGATATAATATATGTGTCACGACGTGGTGGAATCAATTTTTTGGCAAATGGAGTAATTGGTTTCATCTTAAATCTTGTTCATTTGTCTTGCTTTCGATGAAAATAATATCCATCTATCTTCAATAGAAGTCGAGATATTTTGAGTTAAAGCAGGAGGGGCCACTTGGCTTCAGAAGTAAAATTAAAGAGGAAATTGCTGCCAAAGTTTGGTGACTTCCAAAGCTTAAGAGTCATTGGAAACTGTAAATTTACGTTTTCTCTGCCTTTATTAAATGTTTTTCAGTAAAAGCCACACAGCAATATGTTTATAAATGGACACAAAGTGTTAAGCCAAAATTTAAAAATTCTATAAAAATTGCCACATGGGAATAAAAAAGTCGTTTTCTTCGATTTAATTATTTTGACGAGCGCCTGATTTCATCACGATGCCTCATATGTAACTGAGATGACTTCAAAGCACTTTAAACAAATAGAAGGATACAATACCCTTGCAGGAAGACCAAGATACTCGATACAAATTCTCCCCACTCAGGAATTAAACTCTGGTATTTTGTATGCAATGGAGAGGTGCCTTACCACTACAACACAATGTCAGTACCATCATCTATAAAATGGTTGTTAACCTTGAACTCCCCCCCCCCCCCCCCCCCCCCCCAAACCACTGACCAATACTGATGGCAACTACAGAACTGCAACTTATGCCATGCAGTGCCCTCAAGTTTTACAGTCCTCTTTCTATGAAAATCACAAAGCATCCTTGGGTGGCACGGCACCACCAAAGGTAAACAATATCTTAATTTCAGTTTTAGTTATTTTAATGGAATTTTGAAGAATAAACAAAGAAGTCATATAAGTGCTAAAAGTTAGAGATGTTACTAGATGACAATGGCAAGAGATATAATCACACCAGGGCAGAGCACCCACCAATAACCCACAAGCTACATCTGTCCTTACCAACACCACGCATTAACACAAGACGACTTACACTGAATAACCCTGTATACTGGAAGCAGCTGGATCAAACGACAGTCTTCCCCACCAAACTTGCCACATCCTTCCCTGCAACAAAGAAAAAAAAAGTGAGGCACTGTGGTGAAATCAGGCGCTTGTCAAAATAATGAAATAGAAGAACCAGGCATTTTTTTGCCACTTTGGCAATTTTTATCAAATTTTTGTTTTTTGACTCAACACCATCTATGTCTATATAAAAACATATTTCTACTTGAATTTTACAGAAGAACGTTGATTTAAGCCACAAAATATGCCATTTTTTTAGTTTTCAAGGACTCTCAAGCTATTGAAGTAACCAAACTTTGGCGGCCATTTTCTAGTTAATTTTACCGCTGAAACCATGCGACCCCACCTACTTCAATCGCAAGCATCTTGACTTCCATTCAAGATAGATGAATACTTTTTTCATTGACAACAAGGCAAATGAATAAGCTTTCAGCTGATACCAATAACTCCACAAGCCTCAAAATTGACGAGCGCCTGATTCCACCGTGTCGTGACACAAATATTAATTGCGGTAAATGGTTGGACCCCATCATCACAATTTAGATAATCTGAAAAGGAGCCAGGACATCATGGGCCAAGTAAACTACAGTAGCAAAATGGGAGCGAACAGTGGAGCCCACTCAAGTGATATATATCTAGGATCACCGGATTTTGGGTGTGGTTTAGCCAGGTTCTTAGATTTGAGAATAAAAGATTGGGATCTTGGTTTATTTTGATTCACCGCTGTTTCAAAATTTACAGTGTTCATATAAGCTGTGTTAAATAAAATAGGACTTCCTGGCAAGGGAATCCTCTTGTCTTTAACCAGCGACAGAGACATGCATAGATATCTATATCTTCTTCTTCATGTGTCAGATCTGGAGCAAACATTGATGATCATGGTACCCCATTCGTCCCAGCTGTCTGTCTCCTTGATCAGCTCTCTGCAGAGGATAATAACAACACCTAAATCCTTATTCTTAAGGTTTTTTCCCAGATTTTTTTTTCTCTTCTGTTCTTTTCAACCAGGAGAAGATTGGATGTCTCCAGTCCTATTACACAAAACCTCTGAAGTTGTTCAACTCTTTCAACTGTTAATGTGAGAAGCAGTGGTGGCCACGTTGCTGCTTAGCACCAGCACAGATGGAGATGCACATCATGACAAATGCCCACCTACTGGTGAAAACAACTGATGCTTTTACAGTATAACACAGACAGGTCAAACACAGAAGACTCAAAATTACACATGCATCCGTAGAATTGTGCCTGCGGTCCTGTTTTTTTTTTCCTTCTTTATCTTTTAAAGATATCCTTCGAACTACAGATCCCTAGAACTACGGATGCCTCGAATTACCGAGGCCAGTTCCAACGAATTCGAGCTATCTGTGTTATATTGTACTTTTACAAAAGGCATTACAGCCAAAGAAACACAGCACCATCACACAAGGGAAGGCTCAAACCCCTTCATTTGTGAAGCCTGTGCACCACAGATGAGGTCACACCTGGTTGAAGTGCCCTAAGACGTTCTTTGTGACCAAACCAAGAGTAGAAGCAGCTTTGCTATCCCTACTGCAGACTGGAATTTGGGGGCCCCTGGCACTCAGACGTTTATGCCATTTCTAAAGTTGCAGGTCTCAGCCCAAACCATGGACAGGGGCATCAGAAGGAACTGTACCCAAATATAGAGTGCAGAGACTGCCATAGATGGTGTAGCTTAGAAAAACAGGAAAGGAACCATCTTTTAGAGGAGGAAAATTGGACTGGCAGACGTCTCTACTGCCCAGGAAGAGGGACTGATTAGGAATAAAGAAGTCCTTCTGCAATTTATGGCTATGTTTTCCTCTTTTGGGAGCTTGGAGTTGCATGTTTTTGACAAATTTCCCTATATTTCTTCTTTTCAGTTAATACTACAACTAAATTGACCTCTCTGTTGCATGACTACCTACTGTATTTTGGGGTGACATTTAAAAAAAAAAAATTAGATATAAAACAATTGGGTACATTTAGAAAAGATTAATTGTCTTTATACATTTCAATTCATGCTCCTATCAGTTTCGGTTAGAAAGTTATGACAAAATCTGAACATTTTTTAAAGTTTTCTCAAAACGACAAAAATTAAGGGGTATGGGCTGCAGCCCGGACTCTCATTTAAAACTCAAGTGGAGGATTTCTTTTATATTTGGCCTGACTATGTAAAAATGAATTTTCTTTAGTCCTAAATGGGCTTTTTTATATATCTCTCACCGATTTTGAAAAATGCAGTTTCGAGTGCTTCAGTTGATGTGAAAATGCGACAATTAATAGAGTCAAGCAATAGCTATGACGTTATCCTCAATATCTCTTTAGAGGTTTCAGGTATCAAAACAAGCCCATTTAGGATCACAGATTTTATTGTTAGTGTGCTTATATGAAAATATAAGCACTTAAGTCAATAAACTGATTGAGCAAGAGCGCGGGCTGGATTGAGTCAAAATTGCTTCTGTACCCCCAAAACATGAAATATTTTCAAATTCCTTAAAGAAAGATTATATTTTGCTATTTGAATTTCATTTTGAACTCCAGGAGAGTTTTATGATCACTCTGAAGGGCGCTGGTATGTGTTAATAACAAAGTTAGAAATATTAACTGCCACCTGCCCTTAATCTATTTATGTGGCCAAAGAATCTCAATTGTCTTTTCACATACACATATACTATATAGTAGATAGTCAACCTTCCAAGTGTCAACAACAATTTTAAGTTTTTAGTGATGATTAAATCAGCCATAATTTGAGTTACTATTTCGGTTCATTTTTACATCACCAAACACTTCAATTCCTTAACAAATGAACTCTACTTCCTATTTATTTACTCCTTTCGGAAAATGCATTGGGGAAAAGCCTTTTCTCGCACTTTCCAACTTGATATGGTGAAATCATATAGCTTCCTCTGACAGCACAAGCTAATAATTTTTAGCAACAGGTGGAGGGTTAAGAATCTGTCAAAAGTCATAAGTTGACACCGAACAGAGCATACTTTTATATAGTAGGCGTTTACATTCAAAGTTGTTTACAGGTGAAATTTGAAGAGTGACATTTTGATGAAAAGGCATAAAAACTGTAAAAAGAATTCATTGTGAGGTTCTTTTGAAGAACCAGACTGGACTTTCAACCATCCCCTATCCCTGTTTACATGAGCATTCCAGGTCCTTTACCTTCTATATTCTTATCCTGATCGCCCAGGTCCCATCACAAAAATATACATACTATTGTAGTAAAACACAAATACATCCTATATCTTTTAACAAAGACTTATTGTTTAAACAAATCAAAGAGACTTACCGCCAACCTCTGTCAAGAGCGAGACAGTACTGGTTTTTGCCTTCAAAGTTGAAGAACGTGACGTTCGCCGCATGGTAGGAGGCGACATGGTGGCTAAACCTGTCAATTATTAACATGTATACACAACGTCAGTGAGACATTGTTCATTCTTTTTAACAACTCTAAGGCCCTATCAAACACATCTACATCATTTTTAAGATGCGACTCCTCATTGTTGGGTTTTGGGCTTGTTTTTTTTTTTTTGCACAGGACTCTCTATACAGAAAAAAAAAGATGCAGAGCAGAGGTGTAAGGTAAGATCGCACATCAAGTCTTTCCAAACAAGAATGAACAATTTCAGAGATCTTGTGTGGAAGTTCCACATGTTAAGGATCCGTTAGTGATTCTAAAATAGAAAAGCGTAGGCCTTTCAAACTACCGTTTAGGCATAATTCCAAACTAATTTCAACCCAGAACTGACGCCACTCAAGTCAGTATAAACATTAACAGTACCATCAAAAACAACACATGACTGCTTGTCAGGCAAGGGATGCTTCTATGCTCTATGTCAATAAAACGGCCACATACGTAAACATAAATGGCGCAATGAGATGAAGATCTTACAGTTATACATTCTTCAATGCGCCATAAAACTCAAAGTAAAACTAAAACAAGCCTAACAAATGGTATGCTATACTTTACTTTTTTTTAAAAAGAAAAAGAAATTTTTAAAAAAGAGGGGTGTGAAACTTTTTACAACCTTCTCTGAGATATCTGAGTTGGGCACCATTCTCTCAGCTATAGCTGGTGAACTAGAATAGATATGAGGTGTATGAGCGACACTCATCGAAGGGAGGGACTTGCTCCCCCTAGTAGTGGAAGTGGGACATCAGACTTACTGATATCCCAAAACCAAACCTCCAGCCAAAAGTTCTTTCAGAATGAACAATCTGATTACCACAAAGCCAAGAAACTTGCCTATTTGAGGACATCCCATGGTTCTCGCTATTGTAGAGCACTTTCCAGCTCTCGCACTGTGGAAGTCTGGCCTGTACAGAAAAACAAGTAAAGCAGCTGGGCTAAAAACAACGCATCTATCAATATCAACCGTTGAGACACTTGTCCCGCCCTCTTCAAGGACTCTATGAGGACGAAGCGGACATATGTGCCATGACGTGATGGAATCAGGCGCTCGTCAATTTTTGGGCATATGGAGTTATTGGTATTATCTTAAAGCTTGTTCATTTGTCTTGCCTTCTATGAAAAAATATATCCATTTAACATGAACAGAAGTCGAGATATCTGCAACTGAAGGAGGTGGAGGTCGCCTTGTTTCAAAGGTTAAATTAGCGAGAAAATGGCCGCTGAATTTTGCTTATTTCCATAGCTTGAGAGCCCGTGGTCATTGAAAACTTACATTTTTTTACGCTTTTAATTAGTAAAATCTACACAGCCTTGTGTTCTTGAATGAAAAAATCAATAAAAATAGCCAAACTGGCGTGAAAATGCCAGTTTCTTCAATTTCATTATTTTGACGAGGGCCTGATTTCAACACGCTGCCTCACATATACGTTTGATCAGCAGCAGGATAAAAACAACGCTGTTGCTCACTTCAACCATCGTACACAAATCAGAAGTACGAATGAGCACGATTCACAATGTGCATGTTTTTGCCTGCTTTTCTGAGTTTCAGATAAAGAAAACAGAATGTAAAAATCTGTACGAATTATGAAGTTATGATTCTTTTTTCAAAGTGCCCCAAAACAGCGTGTCCTCAATGAGTTAAAAAACGATAAACTTATTTCACAGAAAAGAGGACACCTGGTCACTGGGAATTTTTCATACAAAGAAATGAAAAAAAAAAAGTGACCAGCAATCAGGCATATTTCAACAAGAACTAATCAGGACAATATTACAAATGTTGAAAAGAAATACAAGTAGCAAACCAAGTAAGAGCATCCACCAACACTAACAACAACAACAACAACAACAACAACAACAACAACAACCAGCAGAAGTGAAAAGTCTTTAAGTTTTAGTAAGATTTTTATAGTACTTGCAACACAATGAGGTCATTTAAGTGCAGAAGATTAAAGGTGTTGCAAGAGAGTTACAAACACAAAAAAGAAGGAGGAGAGATAAGGAGGACAATTGATGTCAGAATCTCTCCAAGCTCAATCGGACTCGAAAAGATTACTCGGGGCAAAGGATCAGGGAGTAGAATGCTGCAATTGTAAAGATCATAATCTGCCAACTTGCTATTTACAACCCGCTTACAAATACCCCCAACATACCTGCCACTATACTGTCTTCCCACTTAGCTCCTCTCTACACTTGTCTTGGCCCGATAGAATAAGCTAACACTAACGATGTCACCTTAGCAGAGACTGAGCCCACCATTTCGGAACTTCATGGTGACCGTAAAGATGGTTCCAGTAGGGAACGGGATAGAGGGTGCCCACATCCCCCGTGACTCATTGGAGCAGAGGAAGATAGGACTAACGCTAACATTACTTAAACGAAATCCCTCATCATCACTCATCACCACTATTAATGCTAAAATCATCACCTCTCTCAGATCAATGACTTACATCTATAATCCTGGAATCTCTATCCGCTATTACAGTTAAGTATGCATGTAATACACTATTGGACACAATCATATGCACTTTTCTACTAATCAGATGGCGTCAATCTCATATAAATGGGCAAGGGAAAAAAAAAAAGATGTTTTTTTGGGGGGTGTTTTTTTCTTAGTAGAGGTTTTACGGCACTCACAGCTGCATACGGTCATATAAGCGCCAGAAGATTAAAGGTGTTACAAGAGAGTAACAAACATAAAAAGAAAAAGGGGAGATAAGGACGATAGATGTTTGATAGGAAAGAAGGAGCAAACCACACCAGAGCACCCACCAACCATCTACCAATAGATGTTTGATAGGAAAGAAGGAGCAAACCACACCAGAACACCCAACAGCAAAAACCAGCAAACGTGAAATAAGCAAAAGTAGAAACAAAAAGTATGCTCCTCTCTTACAGCACCTCTAATACTTGGCACTTATATGATCTAATTGTGCTGCAAGTGCTATGAAAATCTTACTAACACTAAAACTAAAAAGAAAGAAACAAGAACTTTTGAGTTGAGACAGTAAATGCAGTCACAAAGGACTTCCTAATTCCACACATTACTTTCTTCTCAACAGTATCAGTTCTATATTGTCACAGTCATTCATTCCCCTGTTCTTTTAGTGACATGATGTTAAAAGTTCTTTTCCCCCACAAAAACCTTTTTCTCACCACAAGAAATGAACAACTATGGGAGCAAACAAATCAACACAGAAAATATAGATGTACAAATCAGGAAGAGAAAATGGAGATGAAGTGGATGCACCTTGAGAAAACCAAAACAAACATTACTCACCAAGTCTTAAAATGGAATCCATAAAGGAAGAGAAAGAAAGGTACACCTTTCTGCCAGGCTGATACAAGAAAGTATTTTGTGAAGGGATAAGGTTCAGACCTGAAATAGATGGGATGCACCTGGATAGAGGCTGGAGATTATAGCTCAAGACAGAAGTACATGGAGAGCTCTTGTTGATGGCCTATACTCTGGCACGAAGTGAGAAAAGCTGGTGTTGATGAAACCCTTCATCGAAAGGGTTGACATTTTGTGATGCCAAACAAACAAAATTGACAGCAGCTAACCAACAGAACTAACCATTTTCCGTAACAACAGGAGCGACGTCCACATGGGGTCTTTGGTGACACTGTACTCCCCAGCCCCGGCTCCTGAACTGAAGTTGTTTGCAGCCACTGACGCAGCAAGAGAAGCAGACGGTCCTTCCGCACTGGACTTTTTCTGGGCTTTCAGTTTGGTGTATGCGGGAGGGAGTACGATGGACAGAAGCCACAAGACTGCCATGCTGATGCTGTTGTTGGCATTAGTCACAGCATCCAGCATTGGCACTCGGCAGTTATCCTGAAAAATGATAAAAGTAAAGTATAATCCCCTCCCCACTTGCACATCACAACAATCACAGCCTGCTGTTTTATGTTCCTCTTATCCTGTGAGACATATCCGCAATCCCTCTGCAAATCCCATGGTGACCCAGGGTGTTAGATAATAGGTCAGAACGTTCAAAATGGTAAGCTATGCTTCAAGGGATGTGAAACCCACAGCGCCGAAAACTGGCTGAAATCGTGCCTCTTAGTTTCCCAGGCCAGCGACATCTGGAAGTCATTAAATCACCGTCGGAACCGCTCCGTGCCAGGTTACGCGGGGGTCACTGGCCGCTCCGTTGCGCATCAGCTACAGGCGGGCAGGTCATGGCGTAATCGACACTTTTGACACTAATTATCGGCAGTATCCTCACTCTAACCACAAATTATTCCATACAATAAGAAAAGAGCAAGATTCTCCCTCTCTGTCTGCGAAAAGCCGATCTCAATGCGACAATATGTGCCGATGTTACAGTGTGTGCAAAATGTTCTGAATTTCATCGAATTTAATATGTATCCGCTGCACTTAATTCACTTTTAATTTCCAAAGTGCTCGCTCAATCTCAACAAATTTTGGTACATGCACTGATGACATATTTGTGCTGTACGTATATAATTTTCATCATTGTTTGAAGAATAGTTCTTGCAATATTAAGTCGCTTACATCTGATTCTCATCCAGTGCCTTGTTAATTGACCAGTGCAATTGCGTATTCTGGATTCTATGCTGTTTTAAGTTCAACACTTCTCCATTAATTTCATAGATTGTTGTTTCTATGAAAGGCAGACATATTTGTGCTTAATGTGTATACAATTCATCTTTGTTGATTGAGCCGTGATACGATATGAGGTAGAATCCATTTGCCCGTGATTCATTTCTAACAGGTTTACTGAAATCGCCCTATGGAACACACACACGGTGACGTTCCTCCTCCCTGAATGAACTTTGTCGCGTTTGCGGATGTAAGAACGTGACTAAAGTACAACAGAGGCTGATAAGAAAGGCTAGGACATATGAGTCACTGCCAAGGGATATTTTATCATCCAATCATTGTTGACAAAGCGCACTCTATAGGTTTGATTTTTTACTCTCTCAACCAAGCATACAGTCAAATTCATAATGACATCTCACACAGTGCACCTATTCCGAAAACCTCTATTCCAGGAATTCAGACAGCAATAAACACGTAGCCTACATGAAGCTGTACAGAAGACATTTTCCAACAAAGAAAATCCCCAAACAGCGCAATTTAGAACAACACTGCATTTCATCCTTAACACAACATGGCTTTGGCTTGGGCCCGCTGGGAGAAAAGGAACCGAAAGCTGTCACCAGTCTATTTTAAAAATTGAAAAGTGGGTTCAAGGCATCGTAAACAATACGGAAAAACTACGATACGTTATGGACGCACATTAATTTGCTCCAGAGAGCACCTTCATTGCAGGCACCGAGAAAACAACCACGGCGCCATAGATAAGCGTATAGATCTACTGTATAAAATGTGTAAAGAGATCTGTGTCATTAATTTAATGAAGGATACTGTAAGGAGAATTTCATCACAGGCCCGACGAATTTGGCTGTTAACAAAAATGCAAAAATGTGGATTACTAATCTTCCAACAACGATGTCCTTTGGTAAGTAGATACCCACATTAATTGTCATTATTCTGAGCGAGATTTAGTGAGTTTATTCCCGCACTTTGGTAGTTACATAACTGAGCGCAGGTAGACTGACCGGCAGCTGACCCCGTCTCGCTGACCTAGCAGCGTACGGCCTGGCGAAACTAAACGACCGCTGATTCGGCGCTGTGAACCTCTTACATCCTGCTCCGAGACATTTGAGTTATGTGCCTTTCAACAAAAATACAGATCATTTCTCAGAAAATAACAGTCCATTCTCTCTTCCAATGCTATCATTTACTCTGGGTCAACAACTTGCTGTAACTCATCAAAGTCAAAAGCTGAACGACGACATAATTCAGCATCTGAACCAAGAATTTCACTGGCTTTGTCCATTTTCAGACAATTTTTCCCATCTTCTCTTTTTTTTTTAGCATTCTCCTTGGTACCTTCAAGAACAGAGCTTTGTCCAATGATGTAAGACTATGCATGAAGGTAAATTTTCAATAAAAAAACAAACCCATAAAATCATAAGCAGGTCTCTACTGCCTACATACAAAACCCATAAAATAATAGGATTGCAAGTTCATGCTGAATACATTCAAGGTTGAAATTCCACAGTGCTTTTGTTTTATAAGGAAGTGGGTTTTTTTACACTAAAAAACAGAAATCCAACACTTAACTGGCTTGATGATATAGTAACAGATGCCAGAGAAGACCTTCAAAACTTGTCGGTAACTGGCAACTAAGTTTTATCCAAAAGAGGAGAGAGAACCTTGTTATTTTCAAAGTTTGACTTTTCGATTTTTGATTACATCCACAGATTCCTTATTTATTTCCATGACCCCGTTAGAACAATTTATATCATATGTGTCACCAAGCGGTGGAATCAGGCGCTCGTCAATTTTTTGGCATAATGGAGTTATTGGTAGTAGAATCTTACAGCTTGTTCATTTGTCTTGCATTTGGCTATTTTAGATAAAAGTTGAGATATTTGCGAGTGAAGGAGGTGGGGGTGAGCCGATATGAAAGATAAGATTCATGAAAAAATGGCTGCAAAAGTTTGGTGACTTCCAAAATTGAGTGTCCTTGGAAACAGGAAATTTACATTTTTTGTGCCTTTAATGAACATTTTTCGGTAACATCCACACAGAAATATGTTTTCAAAAAGACATAAAAGGTATTGAGGCAAAAAAATAAAATTCGAAAAAAAATTGCTGAACGCCCAGAAAAGGGCCGATTTCTTTGAATTCATTGTTTTGATGAGCGCCTGATTTCACCACGCTGCCTAACACATGGCAAAAGAGTCTCTTGGAATCAGCCTGTCAGAGCCAACCCGGGACACTTTGGCAAATCCAATCCAAAGGGCAAATCATTTACAAGCTGTTCAGATGAAATATGCCTAAAATGTTGAAATTTAAAAAAATTGCATCTTCTTAATCCCATAATGTGTGGTATTGTTTGCATGTGCTCACGAAATATTCTGTCAAAATTCAAATTCTAAATGCTGAGCATCCCCCCCCCCCCCCCCCAAAGAAAACAAACAAAACAACCCAACAACTCATTGTAGGAACAATTGTTACAGGAATGAAAATTTTTTTCTCTCTCCTGAAATTTCGTTTTCTTGAATAAGTACAGTTTACCCACAAAATGTTTTTTAAAAATTCTTCAGCTCATATAAACAGCTGTCATAATTTGCAAACACAAAGAGGAAATTCTAACTATGACATCGCAAGCACTTGTACTCACCAGTTCCTCAGGCAGGGAGGAGCCAGTGAGGATATGGTACACCCAGTTGTGGACATGCTGAAACAACTCCGGGCAGGAGTCCCTGTGCCAAGTGCTGAACTCCTCCAACTTCACCTCCGTCTTTATACCAAACTGGAGTACAAAAAAAAGGAAGCATGGTGGAAGAATGCCCCACTTGCATACAGTCGAAATTGTTCAAGATGGCTATCCATTGTAGGAAATAAAAGTGGTTGTTTTAGACAGGTGGACGCCCTGGACATCTTTTTTAAGACGCAAGGGGGAAATGGAGAATTGTAGTTTGTATAGGTGATAATCTTGGACAGTTGGCTGTTAACCTTTATCTGGGGGAGGGGAGAACCCACTACGCTGTGGCCCTTTTTTGATGCCATATCTAAAAATGACAAAAACATCACTAAATGGGTCATTAAATAAAAACAAGTGAACCTATTTTGATAGTAATTCATCTACAGAATGAACTCCCGGTAAAAAAAAGACACGTTTTCGGCAATTACGGAAAAGAAATTTGATGTCAAATTCGTCGTAAAGGAAAGTTCTCGAGCAGCTGCCATCGGCTCACCATTGATATGGAGTCAAAGGTAAAGGAGGTTTGACAGTATTTCCTGATCTTTTCAGGCTAACCTCCTCTTTGCCTTACGGCACACCCGGTCCACTATGAAAACACGTAACTTTTAGTTTTGTGCCGTACCATGGATGTCATGAAGTTGGCAAAATTCGCTAGTATTAGTTTACTGCTAGGCTTACAAGTAATTAATAAACACAGGTCTAGTCTTGCGGACCTACACTTGGTCACAAAACGTAAACACCAAAATGAGTTAAAAGAAGGGCAGTAAATTTTATTTTTTAGACTCGGTTTTGCAAATTTTTCGAAATTATGGGTCAGATGGGGAATATAGGGAATGAGGAAAGGGAGGAAAGTGACACAAAGTCTTGGGGTCTGAATATATCAGCTAGATCTAGATAGCGAGTCCACTAACACAAACATGAGACTGCTGTCCTTACTAACAGGCTAAGCTGAAAATCAGTGCTGCCAGTAGGAACGCACACCCTCTGGCAAAGAAGGGGTTCAGAAAAGAGATTGGGCCTTAAGACAGTTTGACTTGGTAGAACGTCTGTCTGGTCTGCACATCAAACTATCATATATATGCTTCTCGAATATAACAATCCTTGCCAATTGCGTACGTACAGTGAAAGGTTCATCTCATCATATCTAGTCTTATTTGTGGTGCAGATTACAGAAAGTGTTCAAGATTTTAAAAATTTTTTTTACATGGGGTCTGCACACCAGGGGGGGGGGGGGAGGGGGGGGGGGAAAGGTCCTCGATTGAAAACAACAAAAGAAAAAAAGAAATTATCAATGATCTAATATGTCATATACTTTTCAATTGTCGCTCATGTCGAACCAAAATCACAAAAGATATATCGTACAGCAGCTCGGGATATGAGTAGAGTAGCTTGACCCCCTCGCGGCCACTGCTGGTGTGCGGCCAGTTCTCATACCTCACATTCCAGTTGCTGTAAGGCTTTGAATAAACCACTGTAGCTTCTCTTGGGTCTGCCAATGCGTTCACTTTCATTTCCGGTCTTTCCCGCTGTTCCGACACACCTGATGCGAGTTTGAACTTTTCAACCCAGAAAACATCCCTTCGTGAAATTTCAGGTGAGTTTTTCATTAGCTCTTACCACAACCTAAATATTATTATTTTGTCAACTAAGTGTGGTTTCTGTGTTTTAAAATGCATGTTTTTAAGCCTAACATTGTATAAATATCGCTCAAACGTAAACTTTCGGAGAAATGTCGATGGACGCAGCCCACATGCGGTTGAATCGGCCGCACCGAGGACTGGCTTTACAGTAGAGGTCCTGGCCGCGGCCAGAGTCCAAAATGATAGATAGCCCTGATCAAATGAAGGCTAAAGTCTTGAGATAGAATCTAGACTTTGTTCTTGATAGAGGTAGGCTGTTTGCAAAGCTTTTTGTCCACTTAATAAAGCTAGATGTAGATCTACTGGTAACAAAGCAATAAGATATTTTCAAGCACGGCACCGATCTCAGTGGCCTAGTCGTATGGCGTCCTTCTCGGGAATGGAAGATCGTGGGTTCAATTCCCGACCAGGTCATATACCTAAGACTAAAAAAACTGGCAATCTAGATCTAGTAGCTGTCCCACCTGGCGTCGGCATTATGTGACGAGTGCTATGATGGGTTTGCCCGGTGTTAGTACACTGTGACTAGATGGGATAATAAGTTCTGTTACATTTCATATCCCAGGGTAACAGCACGTTAATTTGCCTAAATTACCTACTGGTTTTCATAAGAGACGTTAAAGGCCAACTCAAACAAAAACTCAAGTATGGCATGAAGTGAACTCTAATCTATCCAAAAAGTGTGTTTTCCCAAGCAAGTCTCAAAATGAGTGGGAAACCGAAGGGGACAAAAGAAGCTTTAGACAATGCGGTGTAACAAGCAGTCAGTGAAGGGATGGGGAGATGCCAAGTCAATCTTAGACTGAAAGATTCCTTCGTTCTTCCTACTTTGCAACGCAGGAATAATGGCGGCAACAGAAAGACATCGCTGGAAAACCTTCCATCGCTCATGAGTGGACAAGAATTCATTGACTCTTTAATCAACAAGGAGAGAAAGATCAAAAGGAAAGCAGAGATGGAAATGAGAAAAGTGGACAGAGTAGAGCCAAAATGGAAGAGGAGAAATGGAAGACGAGAAAGGAAAGAGAAAAACAGCGAGGGGAGCTGAAGAAGCAAAGTGGAGAAAGAAAATAGAAAGAAGATGCAAGAAGAGAGGAGACTAGCCGAGGAGAAGGGGACGGAGAATAAGAAGAAGCAAAAGAAAAGAAGTCATACCTAAGACTAAAAAAACTGGCAATCCAGATCTAGTAGCTGTCCCACCTGGCGTCGGCATTATGGGACGAGTGCTATGACGGGTTGGCCCGTGAAAGGAAACAAATCCAAGAAGAGGTTGAGCGATTCAGACTATGATACATGTACAAGTGCAGGTATCAACGAAAGTGAAATGATACTGTTTGATGAAGATGACCTGCAGTTGGAAGATTTCATGGGAGAAGAATGTTCGACTGAGGAATCCATGTTTGCTGAAGTGGGGGTTGTGGAAAGACATGAAACTCCACAGAGATGACACTTGGACAATGAAACGCTTGAACTTGATGAAGGATCATGAGTCGGACCACAGACGGAAAGAAATAGAAAGTGTTGCTGCTGACAATGAAGGAAATAGGAAACAAAAGACATGTGGTTGAAGTAGAAGAAACAGAAAGAGAAGACATGCTTGAGAGTGACGGAGATGGGAACAAAAGACCAGTCGTTGGACTTGGAGTAGAAAGAGAATAATATGCTATGCGTGAGATGAATGAAGAAGAGGTGGAGGACAGCAACATGGTCGGAACTGGAAACGAAATGCCAGCATTGGCTGAAGAGGAAGGAATGCCAGACACCGTGAATGAGGAGAGCGGGGATTCACTTGGTCAGCATGGCTGTAGAGATCGTACCTTGAGGCCAGAGACGTGAGACTTGTCCGTTCTGTTCTTATCAAGAGTATACGAAATCTAGATCTAGATCTACCATCATTGCACTTTTTTGCATAGATCTAGATCTACGCTGTCATTGATTTCCATTTTGTTTGCATGCTCTGATCAAAAGTAGATTGAATCTCGTTTAAGTTGTATGTACCATTCTTTAATTTTGAACGTTCCCGTTTGTATTCTGTGTCACTGATTTCCATTTCGTTTGCATGCTCTGATCAAGAGTCTGTTGAATCTCATTAAAGTTGAATGTAGGCCTACCATATTTCAAATTGCACCTTATGCGTTTGTTATTGATTCATTCATTGTTTGTCATGTTTTCAAGTGTTTGAAGCATGTTTAACGGCCTGGCCGCATAACGGGCATGGATTCGGCCGCACCTAAGTCAGGCGGCCGCATCGTTGGCTCGTCGTCGGCCGCACCCAGGGCTGCCGGCCGCCAAGTGGTACGCCGAAGTTGTGCAGAAAACACACACTGCACTCTATACTTGAAGTCTTTAAATTCCCGGCCAGGTCAGGGCCCTTCCTGCGGCTTTTTTCTCCTCGAATAGCTAGGGGGGAATGTTCGCTCGTGGCCGCAAGTGGTCAAGTTACTCTAGAAGAAGCAAACCAACCTTCCACAGTGACACCACAAATACCTACCAAGCTGGTCACCATAGCACAAAACACACGCTCATCTCTTTCATCCTCCTTATGAAGAATCTTGGAGAGTGACAAGGTGAGGGCAAAGGAAATCTCAAACATCTGTTTTGCATCTGAAAAAATAGCAAGTGTGAAAACTTGTCAGTAAAATAAAATGCTGAAAACAAAGAATGAAATAAACCCATCGGTCATGTGGGTTGCTACTGTGACAAAAACCAGGGATCTAGATCTACTAACGATCTTCACAGTCACAATACACTTGATAATAACACTAATTATGAACATTAATTCTGTTGGCAAAATATTTAGATATAGTCTTGATTAGTACTAGATCTACGATAAGGGGACGCTGACAGTAACATGCTCACTACAATAATATTGTCATTAAACTTAAGGCCATCCAAAGCAAGCAAAAAAGAACAATATAAGCCTTTTCTCCAATTTACTAGAAAGAGATAAATAAATTGAGCTTGTATTGAGGAAATGTATTATTTCTCACTTTAAGAATTCATCTCTGTGTTTGCATCAGTAGTGTGTACAACAACATGCTTTGTTTAAAGCACGTGCGAGTCTAACAAATACAAGAGATTGGAGAATGTGTCGGTTGCACATAAAATACATAGGCCTATTGTACATGCTGCCAAAAACACAAAAATGCAGAAAAGGCCTCAAAATATTGGTTTACACATAAAAGCCAATAATGCAAAACAAAGTAAACAAGAGTGGAACTGGCATATGTTTCCTGAATATATGTTCAAAGTCATTTTCTGTGTGTTGGGAGTGTGATTTCTAATGCATGAATGATAGGCTCATTCAGATGTGATAATGAAGAAACTTGTGTCTACAGTCACAACAGAAAGAGTTCCATGGCGAGTGATCACTGGTCAAGGATTTCAGAGCTGTGTGCATTTTGAGAAAAATGTATCTCCATACCCTGGATCACATGTCGAGGGGATGGGCTTGTCCCCATGTAATCCCCGCACACAGTAAACAAACACATATTTTTGAACACGAATAAGAAAAAATAAGTGGTCTCTTGTTACGGATCAAATTGAAGTCCTGTTACAATTCAATTAATAGATAAAAGCGTGTATCGCAAGGCATCCGCTAACCCAGCACTATTACGCTATTTTATAAATACATTCGTCAGATCTGGAATCTTTAATCTTTAATTTTTAATCCCCGCACACAGTAAAAAAACACACATTCATGAACACACATAAAAAAATAAGTGGTCTCTTGTTACGGATCAAATTAAAGTCTTGTTACAATTCAATAATTGATAATAGCGCGCATTGCAATACATTGGCTAACTCAGCATTATACGCTATTTAATAATACATTCGTCAGATTTGGAATCTTAAATTATAATCATAATTATATGTGCCCGCGCGTGGGAAGTGAAAGTGAAAGGAATTGAAAATGCTTTCAAAAACAATTATGAAAGTAACATAATTAAAGTAGAATTGCATGTGCTTATAAAGGCCCAAAAAGGTGTATGGATGCGGGAATTAATGTTTCGGATGAAAATAATACGCTATCTCTACTACTGTAGGGTGCGGTAAAAAATTTGATGCGCAACTTATTATTATTATCAAATATCTAGGCTACTGAACTATTGAACACCTAGATCTAGATTCTCCTACTTTTACACAATGACTTAGATCTATATCAATTCGTCTTAACCGATGAGTATTTTTTTCAAACATTTGTACACATCTATAGGTTCTATATTATTCTAGAAATCTCTTAAAAGAAAATTCTTTAATAAATACTAGCCCAATATTTAAGAAAAAAAATCCCAGTCAATGGTTTCTACAGATTTTTAAAAAGTTTATGGCTGGAGCTAAATCTCTTTTAAAAGCAAGTCCGTCCTTTTTCCTACTTTTGCTGGCGACATAAAGCTAATTATTGAACGCATGTTTTGAGAACATTAATTAGATCTAGTGAAAAAATATGTTCAGTGTAAAACAAATTTCTTGTAACAAGTTTTGCTACTAAAAAATTACGTAGGCCATATGCGTATGCAAAATGTGTGTGGGAAGCTAGAAGTGCTGTGAACAATCCCATCCGTGTTACGATTTTTTTCACAGTTCTGTAGATTTTATATTTATAAACTCTCTATGTCTGCTTTTTCTGTTTTTACACCCAAAAACACAACAATTTAAAACCTTGATTCCAATCTCTAGTTGCACAGTGAATTCTGTAACTCAAAATTACAAACTGGACAGTAAATGTTCCACTTTTCACTCGTTTGTAAAAGCCGCTCTTGCTTTAAAAGCTATAGGGTTACTTCCGAAAACGATAAATCGTGCCCTCAAGACGCCATTGTTTTCGGTCTTCAATTCCTCACAGGTCACGTGGTACAGTTCCCGTTCTATAAGTGTAGAATTCTGTGGTTATTGCAAATGGTCATAGAAACGTAAAATAAAGCTGGAAAAGTCTGGTGGTGATTTAGTGTCCCTGGAAAGCTAGAAATATTATTCTTATAACCCAATTACGAGAAGTCATCCCTATTATTCAGTCAACTTACAAAACCTAGACTTAGCGTTTCAAGAAAAGTAAGGAATTTCTGGAGTGTAACAGATACTGTTCGTGTATTAGATCTACATTGAAGATGTATTCTAGCACTAAAATAGATTTGTACTTTTCATAGAGAAACTTCATGGTAGCTTTTATAAACTTTCGAGAAAATATGAAAATATTCCCGAATATATTAGACACATAAAGTTGTATTTGGAGGAATTACTTCATAGCGAATTGTGTGCCCGATGGATAAAGTTGCAAAATTACACCTTTCTATTATATGCGCAGATACCATCTTTTCTGAGTATCTGCACCAATGCTATGTAGTTCATGTTCCAAAAGTTTGACAGATTTTGAAGAGGTCTTTTTTTATATTTATTTTTTTTTCATTCACGCTAGTCCAAAAAAATTTACAGTTTAGCATTGCTGACTACAGCGCGTCTAACGAAATAACCAGACAAGTTACAACGTCCGTTCTTTTTTGAGTCTCAAGAGCAGAAATGCATGCTTTGGGTGCACTAAATGAGAATTACCATAAATACAAGGATACACCATAAATTGTACGTTGAAAAGTACCAAAAATTAAGTCGGCCCAGACAGAGCGGCTGACCCCCGTGACCCCGACGTGATAAGGCGCCCGGCGGGAACCCCTCACGGCAACTAAAATTCCACTGCCGGTGCGCCGTGCTCTAGGGCTTCTCGTACAAATTACAGGAACAGCCACCCTATTCGGCAGATCTGTCCCCATGCGACTTCCACCTCTTCCCCAAGGTGAAAGATATGCAGTGAGGTTGGCAATTTGAGGACGAGGGCCAGAATCGAGAGGCTATGAGTAAAGAACTCAGGACCTAGGACAAATGATCACTGATCTATGTCTTTGACCGCTGGGTACATCAAATGGAAAAATGTCTGGAACTTGATAGTTCCCAAGTTGAATAGGTAATTGAATAGGCTTTCTGTTAATACCAAATACAAGGTGATTTATAATCATATAATGTGAGGACAGCATGACAGGGAAACTTCATTCTGAAGCAGACCTCGTAGGGTTATGCGCAGGTTTGCTGCAGCTGCTGTGATGTTCCATAGAGTGTTTTGTCAAGGTTAGTACTGGGAGGGAGAAGCACAGCTCTGATATCGTTTAGGACTGTACAGTGGAACAGGACCCAGTTCTATAATGCTATGCTGACCTGATTAAACCTTACTACAAAGACAAACCAAGAAATCAAAAATGAATTCAAGCATAACACTAGCTTTAGTTTTAGACAGTGCTTTATGGCACTTGCAACACAAATGGGTCATTAATAAGTATCAAGAATTAGAGGTGTTAATAAAGAATAACAACAAAGAAAAGAAGGTGGAGAGATAAGGATGATTGATGTTTGACAGGAGGAGAGAAGGGGCACACCACATCACAGCATCCGCAAACCATCCTCTAAAACTGTTTTACAAATGAGGATTGGAAAAATAATTACACCAGATGTATATATAGTCCAAAGGATGGGAACAGGAAATTGATAGGATTCATTTTAAAATCTTTTATGGTTCAATTTTTTTTCAAGCTGATAGAAAATGGTACAGCAGGTCAATATTTCTTTTCATACCTTCATTGGTTAGGTGATCCTTCCCAGAGGCAAATAAGTGAAAGTAGTACTTGACCAAGGCCTTTTCTCCATGCATTTTAAGAATTTCTTTGCCAGCTTTCACAAACTGTTCTCGGGTGATGCGTTCTCGGTGGAGAGCCCCCGAAGAAACCATTTGCAAGTATATGAGCTTGCCAAATATGTGCAATGGTCCATGGAATGCATTCTGCAAAGAGACAGTGCATTTTACACAAAAGGAAGATTTGTCATATCTTTAAAAAAGTTCAATAGTGCAGCTTTAAAACTGTAAAAGCAAAAGATAAAAAAGAGTATATATTATATGAATGCCACTTGTCAATAACCTAGAGGCATGATTTTTAACAGGAAACATTTATCAGAAGGTTAATGTCAGGACACATCTAGGTGCAACACTGTTTAACTAGGATACACAGTGGAGTCCAAAAGAAATTTGAAATAGAATTTACTTAATTTTAAATTGGTGGGCTGTATGAGTGGTAATATACCGTAATAATTGGGTAAACACACTTTCAAGTTACTGTTAGACAGCACTGTATAATATACATACTACTGTATAACATAGACATGAGATCACAGGGAAAGACAGTAAGTGTCACCTTGAACTGACAATGTTAAGGAATTTATTGTGTGTATGAGCTCTTTTGTCAGAACTTGGATTTTTACGGGTACTGTATTTGAAAGGATAATTATACAATGAATGAGACCCAAACTGTAAAAAACACATCACTGTATAGCCATCGAAATGTTATTCCATTGTGAAGTGCCTGGAACAATCTGAGAGGACGCGTTATAAAAGCGATCTTCACTATCATTTTAAAATAAATCAAAATTTTATAACCGAAAGTGTTTATTCATGGTCATGTATCTCAAATAATTCTCTTATACTTTCCAATTTTCTGTTTCAGTCCCCTGTAGGACACTTACAGTTTTCAGCCTATTAGGAGCATACCACTTTTATTTACTTTCTAAACACTTGCATAAATGATTTAAAAGGTACAATAAATATGTAAATTGCCCATTCCAACGAAGTAAAGCAATTCATGAAGAAGAGTTTCTGATTTAGCATCTAATATAAACAGGACAGGACCACACCCGGTTGTGTAGAGTCAAAAAAATTCCACCGTATTCTGAAAGCTTAAGAATGCCTTTCTGGGGCATCAAGTTGGGAAGCTATCAGAGCCACACATATTAGCACCAAAAAAAAAAAAAAAAGGATCAGAGCCGTGCACTTTTTAATGATATTGATACAATTTGACTGTCAATATCATCCAGCGATTTAAATCCCCCCCTCTACTTTTTCCTGGACTTGGGACCAGAGTATATCAATTTGAGATATGGCTGCATAAGAATTTTTTTATTGTGCCGTCATGTTACAGCTTATCTAAGAAACAGCCATTTTTGGAACACTTACTGCACAAGTATGGCTCCATGTAAGGCAAAATAAAATCTTGTCTTTTCAATGAAACACGTAAAAACGCCAGTCTTTGTTAACCAGTCATGTTTTTATATGATGCGAACACACCTCAATCACTTTATCAATTGTCTTGGAAAATCGTTTTCATGAGATTAATTTTATGGAAATTTAACAGAGTAATTTTGGTCAAGGAGAATGTAACTCTGTTGAATAGTATTGGCAATCAAATCATACCAATATTGTTAAAAAGTGCATGGCTCTGACAGTGCACAGCTTTGATACTTTTTTCAGAAAGCGCACAGCTCTGATGCTTTCCAATCAAATCAGGGTTGATCAAATTCTAATCCAGCCTGACCCCAGCTCAGAGAAAAGAATACCTTTTAATAAAATTTTCTTTTTAATGCCCTCATATTCAAGTGAACAAAACTTACCTCAAAGGTTGCTTTTGACAGTTCCCCAGGATGTACATTATCCCCATCAGCTGTCAGCTCCAGTTTCTGTCAAGAGGAAGAAAAAGGACAAAATTTAAAAAACTGTTTTCCACTGATAATTTGTCAATACTGGTATGGTAGACCAAGTACAGCCATATTCAACATAAAAACTTGTAAACAGTACAATGAATCAACCAGAAGAGTTTTTCAATACTTCATATCATTCTATTGGAACCATACCATGTACATGTTCTTTACAGTTATTGTAAAGCACATTGAGCACTTTCTTAGTGGAAATTAATTTTATATAAAAGCAAAAATTATTATTTGATTCATTATCATGTGGATGAAGCAAAAACCCCAAAGGAAAAATGAAAAGGCATGAAAAGTAAGAAACTCCACATGATCCATATTCTGAGGTAAATGTGTCTAGCTTTGACATTAAATATAAAATCCCTACTTAGCTTACTTTTACCTCTTTGACACATACGTACAAATGTTTTTCCACAACCGTGATATAACTATCAATCATCCTTTGTCATTCTACCTTTCATGTACACTTAAACTAGACATCCTTGTCTTTAATCAAAATTTATTTGAAATACAACAGCAGTCCTGCTAACCACTCTATGACAGAAAATAGGAGTTTTCTTCAAATCCTTTTAAGAAAATAAGCATTTGAGGAGAAGAAAAGCCTGCAGAAAAATATGTGAAAAACCATTTATTTTAGTAAGAGCTTTACGGTGCTCGCACCACATAAGGTCATACGAGCATGCAAAACACAAGTTGGTTGCATTCACAACAGTTCACTGCAAGGTTGCGCTCGGGTCAACGATCAGAGTTAAAATTCTAAAATGAAGATACGGTAGCGGCGTCCACAGCAGAATCTGATTTAGAGCCATCTGTGAAGATTAGCTCCGCACCGGGGGCATTTTTCTATAAGTTAAAAAAAAATTCTTCTTTAAATGTTTTGGTGTTTGCGCTTGCTTTGTTGTATGTGGTGAGCTGTAAGTCTACTTTTGTCTTGGAGATTTTGAAAACTTGGTTGACTGGTGTCTGACTGTTGATTTTTGAAAAGCATTTTCTGAAGGATTGTCTTTTGCTGTCCCTGAGGCATCTACGTGCCTCAGCTCGAACTTTTAAATAATTTATTTTGTTTTCTGTGGTGGTATTGACGACAGCTCTCCGATATGCTGCCTTCTTTTTCTTTACTGCATCATCGCATTCTCCAGAGAACCAGATCTTGTTCTTCCGGGGTTTCGGTGATGTTTTTTTGTATACATTTGTGATACATTTCTGGAAGCGTTTCATGGAATTTGTTGTAGTTGAGGTCAAAAGTGGGGTTCAAAATCAGGGAACATTCAACGGCGAACCTGCCCCAGTGTGCTTTTTAAAAAATTGAAGCGATCTGGGATCGGGTCATTTTGGAGGCTATTGTTTTTTACATAATATAAGAATTGGGAAATGGTCCATACGGTCATCCAGCACAGACCAGTATGGGACAAGGTCAGGAATATTAAAGGTGAGATCAAGGGATGAAATGCCAAAAGTGGATCTGTTTCTGTAAGAGGGGGGACCTATCATTTAAGAGGCAGATGTTATTTTGAAATAAAACGTCTTCTATTATTTTTTATTTTTAGTCACAGTGGGCATTAAAATCACCTTGCAAAATAAAGGGTTTTGGGAGCTGGAGCTCTAAATCATTTATTTTGAGGGGGTAATTAGGTCGGATATAAACAGAGCAGATCATGATTGGTCTGTGCAGGGGTCTGTGAAGCGAAATATGTTTTAATATCTTAGGCCCATCAGAAGTTAGACGGGAGGGGGCACGCTTGATTAAAAGAGGATCCAAAACAGGTGTAAGGAAAGAATAAAAGACCAATAAGAGACCTGAAAACCCGGAAAATGAGTCTGTCAGAAGGGACACTTGTAAATCAGATGACTCTTCGTGTCTTTTCGTATTTTAGATCTAGATATGTAGATCTAGTAGAGATCTCGGTTATCTAGAATCTAAATCTAGCCTAGAATCTAGATCTAGACTCTATGACTGTCAATTCAATTCTAGATCTAATCTAGATCTAGATATACATTTCATGCATGCAGTGCAGTCACATTTTATAGAACATAGCCTTTTGGCTATTCTCACCCGGTGTGCGTTCACCGTTATGCTATAGCCTAGGTCAACCAGTGTAGCGTTCACCCTGAACCACAGAATTCTACACTGTGATTACAGAATTGTAGAATTCTGTGCCGTGAACAAACGTTCCAGCGCTCTTGTGTTACTCATCATCATCATCATCATCCGGTGCCTTGCCGACTGGCGTGGGCGATCATGGACCTCCACTTCACTCTGTCTTGCACTTCAGCAATGGTGTCTGTTGTTCTTGCTGCTCCTAGCCAAGTTGTCATCTTGTCCATTATCTTTTCCCTCTGTCTGCTTCTCTTTCCATCAAACTTGCCTGTTGCTACAATATTCTCCAATGCTTCTTTCCGCATTGTGTGTCCGAAGAAATTTGCCTGTCGCTTTCTTATATTCGTCATAAGCTGTCTTCTATGATTTGCTTCAGCCAAGACTTCTTCATTTGTTTTTCTAGCTCTCCATGGAATACGTAGCATGTGTCTTATGAACCACAAATCTGTCGCCACAATTGTTCTTTCCAGCTGTTTATTGATTGTCCACGCTTCGCACCCGTATAATAGGATTGGCTCAATGTAACTTTTCAGTACTCTTTTTCTCGTTTCCAGTGACATATTGATGTTTGTTAGTATCTGTTTCATCTTGCGGAAAGTTGCTTTTGCTTGGCAAATGCGGCTTTTAATTTCGGTGTCGCATCTACTATCTGATGATATAATGGTCCCCAAATATTTAAAATGTTGTGCTTGCTTGAGGGTGGTATCATTGACTTTGATATTGCATGTTGGGGTTGGAGTTTTTCTGCTCACCATTGTTTCGGTTTTCTTGATGTTTAGGCTTAAGCCCATGTTGTCACTCTCTTGTACGATGACATTTAATAGATTCTGCAGGTGTTCTTCATCTTCTGCTATTAGGACTGTGTCATCTGCATATCTTAGATTGTTTATATTATATGTCCCCCTATCGAGATACCAGGCATTTCTTCTGTGTGTCTCATGATATTTTCACTATACAGGAAGAACAATCTGGAGAAAGTACACATCCTTGTCTGACTCCTCTTTTAATCTGTATGTATTCGCTGATGTCGTTTTCTATTCTCATTGCAGCAGTTTGATCCCCGTACATGTTCTTGATAATCCTTAAAAAGTTCTTCCAGTCGATATTGAGGACTTCCAGCATGTCGATGATCTTGTCGTGCCTTACTTTGTTATCCTAAAAGCGTTGCAATTTTGTCTGTGAGCAGTGGAGAGAGAGAGAGAGAGAGAGAAAGAGAGAGGAGTAGCGCGAGAACTTCCGGGCAAAACAAAATGGAGACTCGGGTAGTTCGGCTCCATTCGAAAAGTTATAAATATAGCCGTAGCATTTTTGTAGATGACCAAATTAATTTACTTTTTTGTGTTTTAACATCATTTTTAAACTTTGTTTTGGTCAATTTGATCGTCCACACCAATACACAGTATTCAGAAAGGGCCACCTCTATTCTCACCCCAGGTGAGTCTTTTGGCTATTCTCAACCGGTGTGCGTTCACCGTTATAGCCTAGGCCAACCAGTGTAGCGTTCACTCTGAACCCCAGAATTCTACACTATGATAACAGGATGGTAGAATTCTATGCCGTGAACAAATGTTCCATTCCTTCTGTTAGCCTAAAAGCGTGCAATTTGTCTACAGGTGGGCAGTGGAGATGTTGGGCGCGATCTGTCGATTTGCGCGATCCATCAATCGCGCAGGACATTTGGTTGATCGAGGAAACGCGCGACAATCCATCGATTGTTGCGCTTTCTGTTGATCAGCAGATCGCGCAGCGCTTTTTGTCGATCCGTTTGGTTGCGCATTCTATAGATCTTACCCTTGAGTTTTGTTATATTTTGTTGTCGTCCAGTGTGTAATTTAGTTTCACTCTCCAAAGTCAAACCGAAACTGAATGAAAGTAACTGGAAGTCAGGCTTACAATAACAAACTAATCAAAGTGACTATTCGAGTCCGAATAGACAAAAATTATACTTGGACTCTGATTTGAGTCCAGTATGATGTCCGTTCCGACTTCCGACCCCTGTTTCTAAATATTTCCAACATTTATTAACATTTTTAAAAATTATTATGATAACAATTGAGACGTGAGCTTTAATATCCAGTTACTAGATCTATCTAAACTGGTCCCCCCCTGCATCATTAGTATCATGAACAAAACTAAGTTGAGCCGGGGGCAAAGTTAATTAATGAGACTGCGCGCATAGCGATATCGCACTCTCGGCTTATGGGGGAAGAGGTGTTGGGAAGAGGTCACGGCTGTCGATTTGGGAGGACTTCCGTAACGAGTGACCACTATAAGATTAAGACAGAGCAGAATTGAGGGCTAGGGGTAGGGGTAGATCTAGGGTTAGGGTTTGGGTTAGGGTTAGGGTTAGGGTTAGGGTCAGGCCTCTTCTTTTCTGAGTTTGATGGGGTGGTCGCTCGTTACGGAAGTCCTTCCGTCGATTTTGTGCAATGTGATTTTTTTAAAAATTACAGAAAAACTCAACACTCAACAAAATCAAATCAAACATGTGGAAAGACAAATGGTGATGGAAGTACTGATGATGCTGTACTTGGTGGCGGAAAGACCCTGAGTTGTCGGTTTCCGTGTACTTAGACACTGCTATTGGGTAGATCTAATGAGAGTGCAATCAGGGTTAGGCCTATAGGTCGGTGAGTATCACTATCACTCACTGAAGTGCTCAGTAAACCAATTTTCTTTTTTTTAAAGTTCATTTCATCATCATAGTTTATCGGCAGAATGCGCAGTAAGTATAATATTTTTCATGGATCGACAAAAAGCGCTGTGCGATCCGCTGATCAACAGAATGCGCAACAATCGATGGATTGTCACGCGTTTCCTAGATCAACTAAATGCGCTGCGCGGTCGATGGATCGCGCGGGAGGACTTCCGTAACGAGCGACCACTATGAGACAGAGCAGAATTGAGGGCTTGGGGTAGGGGTAGGGTTAGGCCTCTTCTTTATTGTGTTTGATGGGGTGGTCGCTCGTTACGGAAGTCCTTCCGATCGCGCAAATCGACAGATCGCGCCCAACAGAGTACAGAGAGACCAACAAGATAAGATAAAGAAGAAAGGGAAAATTTGTTTTGTCTTTCCATGACTAGATCTACAGCTGTTTTACTTTTCAAATATAGATCTACCAGGAAAAGAATTACCTCAAACAGTCGAATCAGTGACACATTATAATGCTGTTGACTTTGTTTCCGACTTTCCTCTAAGACAGCATCATTTTCAGACTGTCCTTGGTGATGGTTGTGAGGTGTTGAGATTTTTCTCAGAATAGTAGATGATTTATTACCCATGTTCACCAAGAACACAAGGAATTAAAACGTGTAATACGTTCCTTTGAAGATAACCTGGGACGAAATTAGTTCTGTTTTATGATTTGAATAAAATCAAGCATCAGTTTTTGTATGAAAACTATTCATCACAGTATTTATTGTTTTTGTTTTTCAGCCATTTTGAATGACGTAACCGGAAGTGATTGTTTTATATGCGCAGTGAAACCTAAACCGGTATCATGTATTAATCCTCGTTCTGGTACTTTTTTTTAATTTAAAGAATCAGTTTATCTTTATATTTTAAAAGCTCTGTCCACTTTTCACAGTAAATGTGGGCATTGTTTCCAATTTTGATAAACTCCAGTTGCTCTATTTTTGTTGTGCTCTATCATTTTCTCGTGCGGATGATTGTCCGATGACCGTTGTTAGGCAGTGGGTATGTGCTGCTGCAATGTATCCCGGAAAAGTATGTCTGTGAAATCGGCCTTCAGTATCAAAGTTTTTACCTCCCAAAGCATAAATAATGGCAACTTAATGTAGCAGCCAGCCATGCCAAAGTGTGAACTTTCCACAAAGATAATTCCTGCAACATTTGCTTGGGCACTAACCATCGTGTGCACTGGACTGTACTTTGTTTTCGTGTGAGTATTCTTTGGATTCTCATCATCATTCATCATCTCTGGCATAGATCATAGAGGCCTAAAGTACTAATAGGTATAAGTACGTCAGTCTTGTAGAGATATTAGATTAGATTAAGACCATGCTCAATTATTATTTTACAAGTAGATCTAGATCTAGATCTAGATCTCTTGCTACCATTGCTTCCTTCATTATCTTGCTTTTTGTAGCCGACATCTAAATTTCTAGATCTTGAGACTTGAGATCATTTTTTTGTTAAAATTCGCAACAATAGTCAATACAAGTGTACAAGGCTAACAACAAGGATGCGAATAATATCGAGACAATTTTAATTTTATAATAATGTGTATTTATCTCACTCCTCCTCTTCCATTGCCTTTAGTCACTGGATCCGACGTTATAGATCTATTACTAAAGGGCCTTTTAATTTGGCCACCTCTATTCTCACCCGGGGTGAGAATAGTGCAGGCGAGTCTTTTGGCTATTCTCACCCGGTGCGCGTTCACCGTTATAGCCTAGATCCAGGCCAACAAATTTTGCGTTCACCCTACACCACAGAATTCTACACTGTGATAACAGAAAAATTGTAGAATTCTGTGCCGTGAACAAACGTTCCATTACAACTGTAGACTGTAGCCTACTAAAAGCGTACAATTTTGTCTGTGGGCTGTGGGCAGTGGAGAGAGAGAGAGAGGAGTAGCACGAGAACTTCCGGTCAAAACAAAATGGAACGAAATGGAATGTCAATGTCTAACTATTTTAATATATGTTTGATATTGGCTTACTACCACACTACCACTACCAGTGACGAGCAGTTGAATAGATGACCCTGTTGTGAGCTGCTACTGTGTACTCGGTGTACTGTGTAGGCTGTCAAATTTATCCCGTAAATTATAACTTGTTGCTTTGTATTTTTTTTTAATGTAGTGATGAAGCATACATATGACATTCTCATTCTGGTTTTGTCCCAAAGAGGAGCACTGTACAAAGTGCCGTAGCCTTAGTAAAAGTTATTTTAGCTTTAAACTTAAATTCCTTTTTTACAAATTTAGGCCTGGTTAAAGTTCAATAGTGGCTTTCCTTGGTCTGTGAGTCTATTTATTTTATGGCCGTCATTATTCGGACTCGAGTCCGAATAACATTTTTTCATATTCGGACTCGAGTCCGAATAAAAAAAATTCATATTCGGACTCGAGTCCGAATATGAAAAAATGATATTTGGACACGGTCTTGAAAAAGGGAAGTGTCTTCGTTCTATACATCTAACGTTCAGTGCTTCCAATTTTCCGCTATTTTTTAGTTTCCCCCACACTTTATCTGCCGATCCGATGCCCGCCACCTCATTGATACGCCCCCCCCCCCCCCCCCATGTTTCCCACTTTCTTTGTTGTAGAAAAAGGTAAAATTGAAGATTAGCAGATCACCTGGCACCTGCATATTATTATGAGCTGAGTATAAAAAAAAGACCGATTCGTTCAAATACAGTCGAACCTGTGTAAGACGGAATCGCAAGAGAGCCAGAAAAAAAATTCCGTCTTAGACAGGGGAATTTAGGATTTAGGTGGAGATGGAGGTTGGGGAGGGGGGGGGGTTCAAAGGCCCAGCTGGTGGGATCAAGGATCGCTTGTCCGATCGGCAAGCAGTGATCAAAACTTCACACCTCTCAATTGCTATCCTGCCTGATAATGACATACTGTCAGTCTTACTTATCCAATTACCACCAGTGCTTGCCTTTCTTAGGACCACTGTTTGACCTATTAAAAACAAAAGTATGAACATCTCCCTTATTTCGGAACTCTTTTCTCGGCTGGCTGTACGATCAGGGCGGCAGGCATTGGACGCATTGGTCAATTTAATTTCACACCTCTGGCTTCTGGATCAAGGAAAGTTTCCGTAGTGGCTCGCTTCCCGAGCACTCTCACGGGCAGTCGTGAGATTTCACACCCACACTACACTGACCATCTGCATCGCTCAGGGCTCACATGATGGGGTAACTTGAGAAAGCCTAGGGAGAGGCTACCAAAATAAAGCTTTAGTTCCGGTATCCTAGGCCTAGGGTAACATCTACCCCAAGGAGATTAAAAGTTCTAAACTCCTTGATCTACCCCCAAATTGCACCCATTCTGCCCTTCCTCACCCAGTCGCATGACCATAGCGTTAGTTTAGAGCCAGCGGAACTAAACTTGCTAGTTTTGTTTCAAATCGGGGCTGAGCGGGCAAAGCATTTTCCGTCTTAGACAGGTAAAATCCTCGGAAGGGAGCGGATTTTTCTTTCCGTTTCCACGCTGGACAGGTTTCCGTTTTATACAGGTAATTAAAGAGGAATATATCAAGGGGGAGCGGGGAAATTCCGTTATACAGGTTTCCGTTAAGGCAGGTTCGACTGTACACTCGCCTGTGTCATCTCGATTGTTTTACCAAGAAAAAGTTGTGTTGCTGTGTAGAGCCGAGCATACGGCAACTTATGTTTGATATTGGCTTACTACCACACTACTACTACCAGTGATGAGCAGTTGAATAGATGACCCTGTTGTGAGCTGCTACTGTGTACTCGGTGTACTGTGTAGGCTGTCAAATTTTTCCCATAAATTATAACTTGTTGCTTTGTAGTTTTTTTAATGTAGTGATGAAGCATACATTCTCATTCTGGTTTTGTCCCAAAGAGGAGCATTCTGTACAAAGTGCCTTAACGTTAGTTAAAGTTATTTTAGCTTTATACCTAAATTCCTTTTACTAATTTAGGTCTGGTTAAAGTTCAATAGTGGCTTTTTCCTTGGTCTGTGAGTCTTAATTTTTTATTTTATGGCCATCATTATTCGGACTCGAGTCCGATATGAAAAAATGTTATTCGGACACGGTCCGTAAAAAAAGGAAGTGTCTTCGTTCTATACATCTAACGTTCAGTGCTTCCAATTTTCCGCTATTTTTTAGTTTCCCCCACACTTTATCTGCTGATCCGATGCCCACCACCTCATTGATACGCCCCCCCCCCCACCCCCCCATGTTTCCCACTTTCTTTGTTGTAGAAAAAGGTAAAATTGAAGATTAGCAGATCACCTGGCACCTGCATATTATTATGAGCTGAGTAAAAAATAGACAGATTCGTTCAAATGCACTCGCCTGTGTCATCTCGATTGTTTTACCAAGAAAAAGTTGTGTTGCTGTGTAGAGCCGAGCATATGGCAACTTTTGATTCCATAGACCAGCGCACAACTCATTTCGTAGATCTACGTCAAGACTAGCTTATTATTGTAATAATGATCAGTTGTCGGGGGGGGGGGGGAGACTGACGCGTATGCGACGTTCAACGCCCGGATCGATAGTGTCTTCCCCCCCCTCCCTGACACGCACACACAGCCACACGTGAGCAGGCCGCCCATCCGACCCTGACACATGCTAACGAGCCATCTTTAATTGCTTCTGATGACCTCTTGATAAATAAAAATTTATTAGAAGCGCTATAACTTTTCAGGCCGGCCTCAAATTCATCATAAGATAAAAACTCGGCCCCGGCACCATTTAACGCCATTTTGCCCGAAGTGATCCCGGTCTCTACCCAGCCTGAGGCGAGTCACGAGTGAGGCAGGACAGGAAGCCGGAGTCGTGATGTCATGCTGGACAAGAATCAGTCCGAATAACATTTTTTCATATTCGGACTTGAGTCTGAATAGTCACTCCGTTATTTTATTGCAACGCCGCGTTCTAAATAGTTCCCGTGCTATTTGCAACGCTGCGTTCTGAATAGCTCCCGTGCTATTTGAAATGCCAGTACTAGATCTAGAATCTAGTTCTAGATTTAGATGTAGTAGCCATCGTTTCTACATGATAATATTGTAGTTTTGCCTGAATTGTGGAAGCTTTCTCTCAGTTTTTTGATAAACCTCCTAGGATTTGACTCCCTTTTTTTATGACGTTGTCTTATTCCGATCAATATTGGGTAGATCTAGATATAGATTAGATCTAACAATTGTTTCTGACATTGTTAGCACAAAAGTAGACGTCTTGTTCATCTCTCATAATCATAATCATCTTAGTTGAGTTTGAGCAAGTTTAAGTCGAAAGACGCTTGGATAAAACAATAACAAGACGGTGCAACTCGAACTTTAAGTTAGGCCTAGAGAACGTATACAAGCTGTCTACTGTCTACTACGTTCTGTAAGTCTAATGTTCAGTGCTTCCAAGCGTGGCATCGAATCCCGGTCCCGAAAGGGTTTTCTTTTCCCTTCTCCTGAGCCTAAAATCACTTCGGCTAACAGAACTTCCGATAACGACTTGCAAATAAGCTCGATATTTTACACACGGCGACACAGCGTTTTATTTAGCACTGGCGCTAATCGCAACGCGGCGTTGCAAATCTAATAGGCACTTCCTTTTTTAAATGTTAGTCTCAGGAGAAGAAAAAAAAACCTTGCGGGACCGGGATTCGCTTTCGTGACGGATCAGTGAACCTGTGCGTGCGCATCACTTTGTGAGTACCGGTTTGGGTCACCAAAGTTCATTCAAAGTCTGTGCGCTGCGAAGTATAGGGCTCTGGAATGGGGGGAGGGGGGGGGATTTTTTACTTTTTTTTTAAGGTACAGTCGGAGGAGGGGTGGGGATGAAGGCAGCACCGGAGGACAACTACTGAATTTGGAGTTCTGGACTGCCCGGTTACCGTGTGTATGTGACACTGAGACTACGTGCCCAGTTGCCGGTTACTGTGTACGTAGACACTGAGGGTAGGTGCCCGGTTACCGTGTACGGAGACGCTCTGAATCAAGAAACTGAGAAAGCTTCCACAATTCAGGCAGACAATATTATTATGTAGAAACGATGGCTAAGTTACTAAGATATCTAGATTCTAGTACTGCCGTTTCAAATAGCACGTTCAGAACGTGGTCTTGCTGATAGCGCCTGCCTTATTTTTAAGTTAAACTTTTTTGTTCAGTCCTTGAACATGCCCAGCCTTTAAGTTACTAATTTAGTGCTCCTTGCCATTGGCCAGATTTAGATTTGGTGGACCCACTGTGTTTACAACATATATTGATGCGCACTAGCCCTAACAACCGTTGTGGGTTTCAGTGGGGCTCCCTGTTAGTAAGGGGTTTCAAAGGGGTCCCTGGCAACAATAATATTTTATTTTAAATAAACGCAATAAAAATGCAAAACAATAAAAGAGCGGACCATTGTATGGCATAGCACAGCGAGGCTCAAAAGTAGTTCCAGCTTCATTCAGCGTTGGGCCTGCCAAAGTTCAATTCTTACCTGTACATTTTACAATGAAAAATAGAATAAAATTATCATGACTGAACAAGTCCAAGGTCAACAAGTCAAACTCATGACAACCATATTTCAGTCTCATTTCATCATATGTCATCATCATGAAATGCTAGATCTGAAAAAGGCTTTGCCGGTCGTGGTTTTTTTGCGATTGGATACTCACAAACCTTGTGATATTCTGATTCTGCCCTGTCAGTGTACTCACTGTCTGTCACCCATCTGTTAACGTTTTCCTATCTGTTTGTTTCTGGGTCCACAGTGAACAACCATGATATGACTTCAGTATTTCTCGTGATATTATATGTTCAGTCTCATGATAAGTTTGGATGAAGGCAACATGGTGACATGGTGTCTCTGTCATTATAATACACAGCCGTTTTGTTTGATGACTTTTAAGTTACAACACACAACAAAGTTCATGCAGCCTTTTAATTTAGGCTAGATATAAAATGGGTTTTGTTTTGTTTGTTTTTTTCCCCCGAGGATTTTTTTAAAAATTTGGCGGGGGGGGGAGGGAGATATAGTTCAAGGAGATCTTTCTCTTACTTACTGCAGAGTTGATGGTATCATCTTAACACTTTCCCTGTTACGCTCGCGGACCTTGCCTCACTGGACTGAGAACCGCAAAATAAGGCTCGAGTTGGTTGCTATCTGTTCCAATCCAGTAATGAAAAGACACGAAATTCTCGGCCGATCCACGTTTTCAAAATAATAAGAAGAGATTTCCTGTTAGCAGATATGAAAGAAAATATAGCACTGAGAGACGATTTTTTGTCATTTCAGCGCTTTTTTTGGTCCCCTTCGAAATGTATATGAGAAAAAAATCGCTACCCTGACTTCAGTGTATGTGTCTCATATTAATTATTTTCACTTCTATATTAGGTACACGTACATTTCAGCATTTCTTCGCATTACTTGAGGCAACGTACTAGGGAACTTTGAATTTGAATGGTGCTGCTGTTGTACTTTTTAAGATGACGTTTCAAAGCTGGAAAATTGTTGATTTCATATGACACCTTCGATATTGCATAAAATCACTTTCAGAAACCCCCAGTAATATAATTGGAATAAATCTTCAGTATTGTATTGCCACATCTGATAGATTATGTTTTAACCTTCAGTTTGATGGGCCATAGGATATGGTTTGTGTGTGTTTAGTTGGATGTTTTAACATTTTCCTTTGGCGGGGTAGGGGCGTAAAAATAGGTCTCGAAAAAGCCCGGGGCCAGTGGTGCATGTTGGCCTGGTAGGAAAAGAGTAAATCCCTCTCCATTTTACTTGTTTTGGGTGAAAGTAAAGTCCATATATGTTGAATAGAAGTTGAGATATTGTGTGATTGAAGGAGGTGAGGATCATCTGGTTTCAGAGGTAAAATTAGCAAGAAAATGGCTGCCAAAGTTGCGTTATTTCTTTAGCTTGAGAGTCCGTGGAAACTGAACATTTACATTTCTTCTGCAATCAAACGTTTTCCGTAAATTCCAGACAGAAATGTGCTCTTTAATGGACAGGAGAGGTGTTGAAACAAAAAACAAAAATTCGATAAAAATTCCCCAAACCTGCGGGAAAATTTCAATTCTTTGACTTTCGTTATTTTGACAAGCGTTGATTTCACCACGCTGCCTCACAATTATTTGTGGTTTTCATAGGAACAACGTCTCCAGGGTATTTTTTTTTCTTTCACTTCTCATGCTCAAGTTTTGTTTTGTAAAGCCCTTTACCTCTTCTTTTTTTGTCAGTTTTACACAAACATATAAATTGACTTAAATTCGTAGCAAATTAATAATTTTTAAAATGTTTGATGGTTTCCATCATTTGAATTATCACACTATGCGTTATTGCATAGTAATATATTATAATAATAATATCCTCGGTCTGGACAAGTTGGGGTGGTTTCGTTGGGGGGGGGGGGGGGGGTGGATTCCTGAAAATAGTTAATTTGCGACAGTTTTAGTGGCCATATGTATATATAATATATATAATATGTATTGTGATCTAGCAAAAATTACTGCAGTTTGACCCCCAAAGCAGTACACAGGCTAGCCAACCTTCCCGAATTTTTCGAGAAGTTCCCGAATTGCCATCGTCGTTCCCGAAAATTCGGTTTCCCGAAAATCGCAATGTCCCCCACCTAAAAATTATTATTTTCTTAGAAAAAAATAAAACGCGAAGGCTTACAAATGCTGAGGATGAAGGCGTTTGTGTATTAACTGTACTGTAACAATCTCATCTCTCTCTGTGTTTCTCCACTGGTTTGTTTGAGCTGTTTTTGTGGTGTGGATGGGTTTTTTTTTAAAGTAGTAGCTTTAGTAGCCTATCACAGAAGTGTGGGTCCATGATGCTCCGGTCCTATCAAAATTCCAGAATTCAGTGTATCTCAAAAGTTGGCAAGCCTGAGTACATCTGTGTTCAGCAGTGAAAGTATAAATTTACCTCCTATCCCCAATTAAACTCTTTGTGTTTTATGTCCTTAGTGCTGCCCATCATTACGAATTTGGAAAAATCCTTGAGATGAAGTGGGTTTTTTTATTCAGTATTTAAATGCAAATATATATACACAATTCCGTTGTTTCTGGTGTTAATTTGTTCTACGGCTACCCCCAACACATTCCCACCTTCCCAGTGTACAATATGAAAGGTTAATGCTTTGTATTGTGGGCTATGATGACCTCCTAGACGGTGTATGAAATGAATCGGCTGTGGCCATCTTTTGTGTAAAATGATGATACCCAGAATCAAAGGTTTTTTGCACATCCTGTCAGTTTTTGTTGTTTTTGCAAGAGTCAAGCCAACAGCCAACAACACCCCCTCCCTCCCTCACCCCACCCCCCTTTAAATTGACTATGAGATTATGGCTACATGGTCCCTCTGAGACCTTTTTTTCCATCAGACCTTTGTTTACGTCACATTCATTCTTCAACCAACTACCTCTGCTTGATTACCGCGGAGAATAAATACGCTATCCATGGCCATACAAATTTTAAAAACATTACTAATGTCATATAAATTTTGTTGATTACTGTACTATGTTGGTGGATGGTCAATCCTGCTGACATCAAAGTGATCATGAATCAACGATAGAGGAAGGACTTAAAAACTGATTTTTTTTTTTTCTATATTCTATATCAGAGGTTAGCCTGTTTATACTGTCTTTTTTGCCATTCTCTCATACTGTGTATTAAAAAAATATGTTGTTGTTTACATAATTTTATTGCTTTTCATTTTCTGACCTGATTGTAATCACAAACCTGAGTAATTGGACTAGTTTGCGCTCCTCCTCATGAAGTATTCTCCAGTTTGTTAGTTAAGAGAGAGGGAATGATGTGCTGGGCTAAGTGTTTTGGGTACTTGTATTGAAATTTAGAGAAGCAAAGCAGGTTTGTGTGTCAAATTTAGATCACACCTGTTTTATGGGTTGACACTCTTATTATAGTACAAAGCAAATTTTATTAAAAGGACTGGACATGTATATTTTTTTCACATGTTTAACATTGGCAACATATTTCAATTAAATCCTGTTTATTGAAGGAAACCCTTGTTTATAACTTTGACTCTTTCTTGGGGGAGGGGGGGGGGGTGTGTATTACTCAGCTGCCATGAATTATATTTGCATTTGTTTTTTTGCTGACAGCTAAATAAGGCATTTAAGAGATCAGGTTTAATGCTGGTTTTATTGGTGCGCTTGTTCTCAATAGTGCTTAGTGTATTATTTATAAATATATTTTTGTTTGTTTGTGTAATGATCTCCCATCTCTTTCCTTTTATGGTGAGAGGTTGAGCTTCATATTTTGATTTTGACTGCGCTGTCCTGATCTCTTGTTATAGAATTATCAAGTTCATGCTGTCGCTCATTCATCATTGCAATTCTGTTTTCTTTTTATTGACAGCTGTCGTTACCTGACAGAGGAGTACAGCTATGCATTCCCAATTGTTCAAGGAATTATCACATTGTACATGATGCTGAATCTTTGCCTGACAACGTTCATGGACCCTGGTATATTTCCAAGGGGTAAAGCCAATATTTTATTATTCTTCTCCATACTTTGGGGAGGAGTTAGTTTTTACCTATTGTTGTGGGTAACGCATCGTTTTTTAAAGGATTTGTGTTCTTGAAATTCAGTATGTTGCAGAGAGGGTTCGTTTATAATTTATAGATATAAATGGATTGTTGTTCTGTGCTTTGACTGCATAGGAGAGCATATTTTTTTGTGTGCTCATTTTGTATAAGAAATGTTTTGAAAAAATAATTGACTGAAAAGTTTTGTGCGAGTGAGTGGAGAATACATAAAGAAACAAAGAAGATAATGAGACATTTATAAATGATGTTTGTGTGTGAGCTTTGTTTAAAGTGCTGTAGTAATATTTTCCTCCATTCTTTGCAGCTCCTGACGATGAAGCGAAAGATGACGATTTTCGATCTCCATTGTACAAAAATATAGAAATCAAGGGCGTGCAGACTCGAATGAAATGGTGCACAACCTGCCAGTTCTACAGGCCACCCCGCAGCTCCCATTGTAGTTCATGTGATAATTGTATTGATGTAAGTATTTCAAGAAAAGATTTTGTAGTCAAAGGTGTCTGTCATGGCTGACCCAAAACAGAGGGGAATAGTTGTAGTGATTCTTTTCGCCACTTTTGACACAGTTATGGTTTTGGCAATTGTGCTCTAAATTGGTAATGTTAGATTTAGGTACCCTACGAACAATTGTCTTGAACAAAAATAAGGCACAGAAGATAACCATTCCAGTGAAGAATGTATCTCAAAACACTGAGCTTTTAATGCATCAATGTAATGGTTTGCTGTGTAGAGTTGAGAGGAAGTTGTATTGTTTCAAAAGCCGACGAAAACTCGAAATTCTTATCCCAATCAACATCGCCGAAGTTGCTTGAGGGCTAATTAACCCCAATGACCTCGGGCTGGGGAGCTCGGGCAGGCTGCTGAATCATGCCAACTAATAACCAATGCCCATAGGGGGATAGGTTCTCTAACACACAAACGGATTGCCCGACTCGCAGCCTTGAAACCAAACACATTTTTGGGGGGTCACCGTCAGCACATTGGCTTCGTTTAGTTTGTGCCACGATGGTCGCTTTTCACTCTTAATCTGGCTAGCCTCACCTACCGAATCAAACCGATTGTGCCAATCGGCACTGGGTATAAAAGGCACAAAATGGGGTGAGAAGTGATATCGTGGTTGGTAACTTTGATGTTTAATTTGTTCAGTCAAGAGGTTGCTGCTATTGTTTTAAGTTTGATACTAAGAAGTAAGATTAATGAGAATAACCTGTCATAAATTGATGTCTTTGTTGAGTAAATGTTTTTTATTGGTAAAATTCAATCTGAAAGGAAATAGTTTACATAAATTCATTGCTCATGCTTTTGTTTATTTTGTTGCAGTTAGATGTGAGGTTTTGATTGATTTGTGTTCTCTCACTAATTTAAGTTTTGATTATTATCCTCTTGGCTATTCTTACTTCTCCACTTAAAATCAATTTCATATTTAGTTAAAATTTTAAGCAGAAAGAAAAGTGAATGATCTCACCAAAACATTTCTTTGTGCTTTTTCAGACTTTCGATCACCACTGTCCCTGGCTGAACAATTGCATTGGTCGCAGGAACTATCGCTACTTTTTCACTTTCTTGTTAACTCTTTGTGTACACATTGTCACCATATTTGTTCAGTGCATTATCTATGTGTTGGCGCACAATGACGACCTTTTAAAGCCAGGTCCAGTTATATCGTATCCTTTTATGGAAAGTTCGCTTTTTTGTTTAATTGAGCACCATGTATAATAATATTGGCATCGCTGAATTTGTTATTTCATTTGTTATTTCTAAAGAAAGCAGCCGTGGATCTGGGGGATTGGTCTATTGCTATGTGTTAGGAGATCAGAACTGAATTTAATCTGAGAATTTTAAAAGCCCTCTATGAATAGTCTTTTCTTATGTACCACTTTTTTATGAAAGTTTGTACCTCAGTGTCTGATGATAACTGATGGATCCGCAGAGGAGATTATTATTTAAAAGGAAATAAAAGAAATAAGGATTAAGATGGTTTGTGGCTTCTTCTATGACCAAAGAGACGGATTCTTGCAGAGCAGAATTTTCCTCATTTTGAGTATTTAAAAGCTTCATTTCTGCGTGTTGTGACTTGTGCAAAGTTTGTTTTTTTTAAGGTGGGAAAGAGCAATGTAAACAATATGTTGTTACTTGTACATGAAAGAATATTCAACACTAACCTTTTGGTTGCCTGCGGAGATGTGTTTACAGTTACAAGAGTTAGCCAAACTAGTCTCTTTCTCTAGATCATGTGATCCTTTCCTCTGCGGTGGGGCCCTGATGCGATGGAATCTCACAACACAAGCACAAAAATAGACAGGCTCTAAACAGTCATTCCTCCTTTCCTAACGCCGAAATCTCTCCAGGCTTCCTCTGCCTTGATGCAGCTCTTCCCTCTCCCTGCTGTAATCCAGAGTGAACTCGTCTCACACTTGCTCACTCACTCTCTCTGCTTTACACACTTGCGTCAAACAATGCAGCAATAGGCTGGGCCTAACTTTCTGTTATTGACCAACACGCCAGATTGCCCAATAAAAGCCAAATAGACCACACACAATACTCACTCCTTTGCTTAGGTAAAATGTATCTGATGGCAAGATCAAGACAAGATAATGAGATTAGTGTCTAGCAGGCATGGACAAACTATTGTTCACAAGCCAGATCCCGCCTGTGATCGGTTCAGTCATTGATCATGAACGTGAAATTTTTATGTCATGGAATGCCCTTGCATGAAATATACTTTGGTTTCAGTTTAAGAGTCACTTTTGAGAACTTGGGTATTTCAAGCGATTTCACCCAGTTTTTTCTTGCTTTGATTTGGCCTACGAGATTTTTAGAGTCATTTAGTCTGATCTGTGATCTGTGATCTGATGCATGCCCTTGCCTGATGAGGTGCAGTAGATTGTCAGAATTTCATCCATGTTGCTGGGAAAACTGTATTAAGAACATTTCCTGGGAGCTTTGATTTTTATTGAAGGTCCCTTTCAAGGACTGCTGAGAGGGGGACCTGAGCCTTAATTTCACTGTATTGTTTGGAGTAATGGTTACAATTTACTTTGCATTCTGACAGACTAAGAAAGACTTACTTGTTGCATTTATATATATTCAAAATGTGATGTCAGTTGAATGTAATGTTTTTTAACTCTTTGTAAGCATCGTTGTTGGCAGAAAGTTCACATTTTCGATTGGAACACAAAAGTTCATTCGGAATATTTACCTGCTTTAAAGAATTGGGTGATTTTTTTCTTTTTTGGTAAAGTTTTACACGCTCACAAACACATGCACTCTCTTTTATACGAACCCAAAGTCTTCCTCATACTTCCTTTTCTCACCTGTGAGGCCATGCACCTTGCTGATTTTATTGTCAAAATTGAGTTACAACAGATGTTTCATGATTAGAATGTTCCTTAACAGATACTCAGAATTCTCATCATGATAATCATAGGCTTAGTGTTAATTCCTGTATATGGACTGACAGGGTTCCATATCTTTTTAGTTGCTAAAGGCACCACAACAAATGAACAGGTGAGTTCTTATCCGTAAGTGTATACAGGTTTCAGCCCATTTGGGTTTTTTGAGGGTTTTTTTTTTCATTTTTATTACTTACGTGTAATTACATTGTTTGCTCAGAAAATGTTGCTAATTTAGCAATGCCAACCGGGCTTCCGCGCGCGGCGAAAAGTTGGTCCCCGTTTGCGGGTGAATTTTTGGACTGGGTCGGAACGTTAGACTAACTTTCTCAATCTCGGTCTGCTCTATTTCTGGACCAATGTGAATGAAACTTGGCAACCTATCAGAAAACAGGGCAAACTAATGATATGTGGACATTGAAGTTCGTACACGTAAATTAACCTATACTTTGGTGTCGGGAACACTTTCGTATCGGGTATACCGAAAAACTGTAAGGAGCAGGATTTTCAACTCCGGGAGGTAGAAGGTCTATCTGTCCTCTGTAGTGTCCACAAATTTAAGCATTCTGTGTCAAGTAATTGCTTATACCTGATCATAAATGCACGACTACATATCCAAAGCGACTTCGCACGGAAGCCGGCCGTTTTCCCCTCCCTCACGGCAAATGTATGTGACCTACAAATCCGCGCATGAGTATTCCAAGCCCGTTCATTGGTAACTTGAAATAGGGCAATGGCGGGCGTGCGCTTCCGGTTGTTTTCTCAACGGGAAAAATAGAGTTATATTTTAAGGTTGCCTTGGTCTAAAGTCATCAAAGAAAGCTTTGCCATTATTTAGTGACGCCGCCAACATGTTTTTGAAGGTCCCATGTTGTGATACGATGCTATAAATAAAATGCTCTCATCCTGACACCCCTTTTTCGCAAAATCGTAATATGTACACCGAAATTTTAATTATAACAAAATAACTATGATATAGTAAATCTGACTACAGAAATGATTCCTCCGCCCAAAAACACCTCAGGTAGCCAAGTTTCTTTCTAAAACTCCTATTGATTACTGAGATATCATCGATTTACTTACACAGTCTGCTGTAGTGTGGTCCACTTTTAGGAGTATTTTCCTATATACAGTCATTCATATTTTGCCGACCTTTACAACCCCATAACTTTTTTTATTTATGAACCGATTCTTAAAATTCAAGAAGCATAATTCTTACAATTGAAAATTCTTTCTTAGTTACCAAATAAAAAAGGGCTAAAGCGAAAATATACTTTCATTGGCATTGCTAGCTAATGTAATCTTCTTTCCATACATAGACGTGCGGAAACTTAATAAATAATCTCTTCATTTTCAAACCTGTCCTTACACTGATCCCTGCATATTCTTTCTTATTTAGGGAAAGGAGATTTTTCTGAGGCATTTATATTATAATGTCAGTTTCATGCTACTATACTGAGACTTAAGAATATAAACTCGCCCAAAAAAGTCAAGGAACAGCTTGTGTTTTCACCTGTCAATTTCAAACTTGTATATCTCACAAACCCGTTAAGATCAGTCCACCAAACTTGGCACATGCACTGACGACGAGACACAGTTTGCCTGTACGGCAAATTTGCTTGCACCAGCTTCATAGCAACGGCGCAGGGCATTCTGAAACACAGCCGAAAAGCATGAAAAATGGGCTAAATTTCTCTGACTCAGCAACATTGGCATAGGGACTGTTAGCTAAAACTAAGCTTGGCACATGCTAAACAGATGTCTTAGCTGTGAAAATTGCTCACTTACAACCCTTTAGAAGCCAGCGTTTTTCAGCCATGTTTCATTACAACACGATGGACCAACAACGCTCACTGCCTGACGTCGACAGAGGACAAACCGTTACCTGGCTATAAGATGGTTCCACGTTCCCAGTTGTTGCACATCGACTTGGGGTGTCTCCATTGTTCATATAGAGGCTGCAAGAACGGTGGCAAGCGACCGGAAGCGTCCAGGACAGGCCTCGACCAGGACTGCCCTGTTTGACCAACAACAACATCGACCGGTTCATCGTCAAACAGGCCGTGACGTCACGAACCACCACTGCAAACAGCATCAGGGACCACCTACGGGTGACAGCCAATGTCCACGAGTGAGAGGAGACGGTAAGGAACCGTATCCGTAGAGCCAGGTTAGCTTCTTGTGTCTGTGCCAGGCGCCCAAGGTACACGCCGCCCCACAAAGCAGCTCGGCGGGCGTGGCCTACTCACCATTCACAGTGGACACAATGTCAGTGGGACCAGGTAGTCTTCTCGAATGAATCTAGATTCAACCTGCTGCACCCAGACGGGCGAGCTCACGTCTGGAGGCGCAGAGGAGAGCTGTTCCACCATGAGTGCATCCAGCAGGTGGCGCCCTACGGTGTAGGGTCCATTCTGGTTTAGGGAGGCTTCTCAGCTCACCACAGGACCCCCTGTACCATATACAGGGCAATTTAACCGCGGCAAGGTACAGGGAGGAAATCCTTCGTCCCTTTGCTGTTTCTCTGCTACAGCAGATTGAACCCCAGGCTGTACTGCAGGATGACAACGCCTCGCCGCATCGTGGGGGACTTCCTGCAGCAGCGAGCTGTCACCCGCATGGACTGACCAGCTTGTAGTCCGGGTTTGAACCCAATAGAGAACATTTGGGGTCTCATTGACCGGTGAATAAGGGACAACCACCCTCCTGCACAAAACCATAAACAACTCTTGGGCTGCCTCGTCCAGGAGTGGCAGACCCTACCCCAACAAGTTCTCCAAAGGCATGTCCTGTCCATGCATCGACGCTGTGCTGAGTATTTGATCAAACAGTGGCTACATCCACTATTGACAATGTTCATGAAGAACTATGGCTGTTCCGACTTTTGAAATCCGACCAGTGTGACTTAAACTCAATTTACATGAACTTTTCGTTTTTATTGAAATCTGAAATTGTACACACTTAATCTGGAGAGTCGAAAGCATCTTTAGTGAAAAAGTGAATGAATTCGGTTTCACTGTTCTTCAGTTATCTTTCTTTGAATTTTTGTTCCTGACTTTTTTTGTGCGAGTGTAGCTAAAGCATTAGACAAAAGTATTCATTTGTAAGTTTTGATTGTTGAAATTGTCTTTCTTTTTTTGGAGGGTGCTCAAGTAGAAGTATTTAAATGTTTTGGGACCTATGAGACTAAGAGGGAGGGGAGTAAATAACAGATTATTAATGCATTATTTTAATCTGGTGGCAACATGTTTGAACCTTCCTGTAGCTGGTGGCTCCCCATTATTTTTAATGTTATATGGAAAAGTCTTTTGAGGGAGGAATGTGAAGATGATTTGTATCCTGGTCCCTTTGTGCAGGTAACTGGCAAGTTTAAAGGGGGTCCAAATCCATTCACAAGAGGATGCATAAAGAACTGCTGCTATGTCTTCTATGGACCCAGATGGCCAAAGTAGGTGGATGTTGTTGTATCGTATATATTTTTGCACTTATATATTAATTGTCGTTCTGTTTGTCTTGCGTAGAGCTCGAACAGCGAAAATTATGTGCTAAGACAAGAACCATGTTGAAAATTTTTAGGTCCCCTGGGAGTTCAAAGCTCTTCAATCCTTGCATGCACCAAGGAGAAGCCTCCTTTGGTTATAAAAATCTAGTTTTTGTTCTCTGTTGGTCCCATTGCTCTGAAAAGAGTTAGTTTGGCTCTTAATGCCAAGAGTTTGTTCTCTCATCTCACCTACTACGGTTCCCGTTGTTCCGAAAATTGAGCTCCAGTCACTTTTACTTAAAAGGACTCCAATACTAGTTATGCCACTTCTTTCATTTTGTACCGAGTTGACGCAAGTTGCGTCGTAAAGTTTTAAGTAATTGAAGGTGAACTTGATAAAAAATCTCAGGTTTTTTCTCTGTTTTCGATGCTTCAGTTTGTTTTACTAGTTCTAGTGGTTAAAAATTTGATCTGTCTGATAGTTAGGACCCTGGATATGTACTCAAACACGGCCTGAGTCGTAGTTTTACGGCTAGATGTAGCACTTGTAGTTGTGCTGTTGCTAGCACAATGAAATCACAACGTCGTGCCCTACGTCTGTCTCATGTAATTCAGTGTGTGGGTCTGCATCGACATTCAGCCCAGCTTTTATATTTTCGCCAAACACATGCATAGAACTCAAAACGGAACATCTGAACTTTTATTTTTGTTGTTGTTGTGAATTTCAACACGTCACGTCTCTGGAAATTTTTACGGAATGTCAAGTTCATGCCAATTTTTTTATCATCATAAAAGCTAAAGCATTATACTTACACTACTTTAGTTTTTTGTATAAGATTAAACTTGAGTGTAACTTTACTGTGTCAGAAAATATTTACAATAGGATCATTCTGAAAACTGGTGGTGGTGTTTCAAAATACTCCCCAAAAACGCCAGTATTCAGCGCTAGTGACAGGTGAAAGAGCCAGTAGTCAGTGAGTTAAAAGTATTCACTACTGTTCAATATTCATTAGTTCTAGCATTAATTGTTCATAAGCCCAAAACTCTTGACAAAGTGCACTGTTGCCTTTTTAAAATTCAGGCTCTCGATATACATAGGATGCTTGTTACTGGTGTTCTTTGCATATCATTAATATTATATTTCTATTCTACAGACTAGTAGGCTACATTCCAAAGACCAGAACTGTGAAGTTGGATTCAAGCAAAATTACTTACATGGCTGCAGAAAATGATGTGACAATAAGTGTGAGCAACAATTCCAATGGCATTCGCACTGTCAACAAAAACCACAATGTAAGTTATTTTGATTAATTTAATGGTAACAGAGGATGGTAAATATAGAATAATTTGTTTGTAGAGGCCCCAGCTAGGGTAATGGATTCATGATGTTGTCCTGTAAACTTTGGCTTGTCTTGTTTGCACCTCGAGTTATCTTTGTCTACTGAATTTTGTTTTCACTCTAAAATCTTGATTGTGTCATTTACTTTATGTTCTCAGCAGTATGAACAAGTTATTGTTGGTTTATAATAAGGTTTCTCTTTGAAGAGGTTACAAAATTTCTTTGGTTTCGGTGCTGTTTTGAAGGGTTTTTTTGAAGTCCTACTAATGGATCAGACACAGTATTTCAAAGTGGTTTGAGAAAGTGAACTCTGTGTTTATTGTTTTGAAGAGGAAATCTGTACTGATAATTTACCTAATGTGTCTTTGTTTACCCTGCTTTTAAGTTAACAAATTTTAGCATTTTGGTGAGAAGGAAATGACATGGTCAGGTTGCTCTCAAATGCAATATGATACTAGTGATACTCTTGTCAAGGGGCTTCCTTGGATATGTTGAGAATGACTGCGTAGTTTTGCTTTCAGTTTTCATTTTCTGATTTTGTCTTTGGACCTGTAAGTTTTCCAAAAATTTGGACTCGTGGGCTCAACACACTTTTTTCCAACGTAACGTATTTCAATTTTTGCAAGTTCGGGAACTAGAATAGAAATGGACGAAAAGACTATGCTTTGGGCCTAAAAAAATGTTGTCGTCCAAGCATCATGTAAGCGATTACAGGAGATTTGAACCTCTTAATTATTAAGACTGATGTGCTGTGTTTTGTACGGAGAGGAGTTACGATCCGTGCTATTATTTTGGCTGCTTAGCCTTAGTCTGGCTTTTATTCAGTCAGAGAAGTATATTTTAAAAATTTGATTTTCATTGTGACTCCACGACTGTGAAGATCTAATTCTTTGGTCTGTGCTCTGAGTCTGAATCTGCCGGGAAAACATTTTTTGTTGTTGTGATAATCTCAGTTTGATTGAGGTCAGTGTGAAAAACAAATTTAAGTGGGTATAGCTGGAAGAAAGAGACAACTATGGAGACCTTCTGTTGGATTATATTCGGCAAGCCGTGTGTACAGCCTGACATGGTGTACGGTCAGCATTATTGCTGCCAGAGGCATCTCAGAGTTGACACGTCCCAGGCAGTGGAGAAAAGCAGTCTCTCCGACTCCTATGTCCACTTCTTATAAAACTAAAGGAAAAGAGTGTTTTTCACCAAGTCGCACAGCTCTGATGCTCATATATAACAAAATCATAGACTTATCATTTTAAAAGATCTATTATTTTACTTTTCAGAACTCGAAATGCCCTCAAGGCAATTTAAATACCGGATTTTTTGGAGGTTTTACTAAAAGGGGCATGCCCATGGGCACCTAGTTTTCCATATGCTTCATCTGATTTCCAGGCAATTTTTCGGAGGGCCACTCAAAAGCCTGTGTCTTTCCTTTCGAACCAAACTTGTGAAAACTCTCAAGTGATATTCTATGGGTTGTCCTTGTTTGTCACCTGTTGTTTTAGGTTTTGAAATAGAACCTGGACTTCATGACTGAAAAGAATTTGATTTTTACATTACAGAGTGTTGTGCTTTTAAATACTGACTGAAACAGGGTGATGTAGTACTTGAATTGTAATTACTATATTTTCGTTACATTGTTTGGTTTACAATTGACTGAAAATTTTAGAAAAGAGAGAGAAGCACAGTATTTACAGTACAACAAACATTTTTGACAGTAAGCTGCAAGCCAAGTTTATTTTAATTGTTTTCTATTTTAAGTTTGGCCTTGTTCTCATTTGTTTTGTTACTAAAGTATTGTTGTTTTCCTACTAGTTTGTGGAACTTCCATTTGAAGGTAAACTGCAAGTGTCATCCACTTAAGTTTTTGTCCTTTTGTGTCTTGTGATAAGCTTACAAAGAAGAGTGTCTGGTTTTCATTCCAACTTTGTGCCTTCGTGTGTGAAAGCTTTTCAGTATTTTTGTGGGCACCCTACATTGTAAAGAATTGTCATAATGTGTAAACTTTCTAGCTCAACTGGTTTCACAGATTTTTTTCTCTCTTAGAAGAACAATTGAAGCTGAAAAGTTGTTATGGTCTTACATGAATTCTGCCATGTGTTTCTCTCTTTAGAATCAAAATAATTTTTTATTTATTGAAGTGTTTAGTCCAGTGCTGGACATTCAGTGAATCACTTTGTGTGTTGGAAAGGGAAAGGAAGGGGAAGGGGTGGCAGTATGGCAAGCAATATTTCTGTGTCTCTGCTTATATTGTCTCACTGCTTTTGATGGTAGGTCCCATCTGCAATACTGGAGGGCTTAAGCTCAAACATTACCATTCTGGTCTTCATCCATCTAAGTGTCCCAACTGTTTCAGCTGAGATCTCAGTGCCTTTCCTTTTTCTACATGTTATTTCTTGTTCCTCGAGAGTCCACCTCAACTTGCACCTTGTCTGTTGGCATTTGCCTTTTGTTCCAGTGACTCTGGACCTGTTCTCTTTCACTGTTTCGCAAGCTTCTTCATGACATTTTAATTATTTTTTGTCTTGGCACGTTTGAATGAATTTGGTTATGTACTATTTATGCTTGAGGTAAGGAAAGTTTGTGGCGTACACAATTGATTAAAAGAATTTGTTTTTTGATGGGTGTTATACTTAAGAAATGAAAGCTTGACACATGATTGCAATAAATGGATTGTAGGGTTCTAACTTTACCTGTGTATAGCTAAAGTGGTCACAACAATAAAATTCTTGTATAGTTTTTTGCTCTACAATGCCAGTGTCATGAATTGTCCTCATCAAACCACGTGTACCTGAAATCATTTATAGTATGTACCATCAAAGGGGTGACAGGAAGTAAAGTTATAGGCATAGAAGATAGTGTGAAGGGATTTCAACTTGTTCATTTTGCTGGTGACCTGTTTGTGGAGTTGTCAATGCACTGTAGCACACATATGTGATGGATTTGTCCACTGAGAATCAAGTCGGTTCAGACTAGTGAGGCCTGCTTCTTTCCTGTCCTTTTGTTTATCTGCTTCACCCTTTCTCTGCACCTTGTTAGGGCCTTTGTTCATAGTTATTTCTCTATGTTGCATCCCCTTTTTTCTCAGATTACCACTTTAATGTTTGCGCTTGTAATAAGTGAGCTGTCGGATGTGTTGCTCTTCCAGGGGGTGTTTGGAGAGTGCCTCTCAAGTAGAGCCTTCTTTCCTGTCCTGTTTTTTTTGTGTTTTTTTCTGTTGTCTTGCTTTTTCTTTGTCCTGGGTGACACCCCCAAGTCGGTGTGCTTGTTGCTTGTCTCTCATTGAAACTAGTTCAGTCTCTGTCAGCATATTTAATTCTGCTTCTCTCTAGTCTCTCTTCCTTTTCTATATTACCAGAGTAAGCAATGGCAGTGATAGTAATAATAGGATTAAAAAGATTTTAAAGTCTCACTGTAAATGGATTTCAAGGTAATTTTGATGAGAAGGTTAAATGTTAATCATTCTAATTTTAAATCACACCATGCACTTCTCCGTCTCATAAATTAGAAAGTTTAGAACAAAAAGTCTTGACTTGATTTTTCCTGTTAGTTGTCAAAGTGAGTTCATTGCCATCATAATTTTTAAAAGGTTCATGAATACTAGTACATGTACCAAGATTTAACACAGTCAAGTACCTAAACCTGTTGATATTTGATTTGAAGATGCAAAGCAGGAAGTTGCGTATGATTCTTTTCTTTTTAAAATCTGGCTAGAGGCAGTGGTCTAGAATATTGACTGTTTTTCTTTCATTTTCATGATGCTTTGTTCGTCATTTCTCTCTTCGTCTTTTGATTGTTAAGAGTTATTTCAGAGCTGTGACTTCCATACAAGGTCAAATATCTGTTCACTTTTAAACTATGGTACTTTGCTGCCTTGGCGTTTGCTTAGAATTTGTTTTTGTCCTTCCTGTGCAACACTGAAAGGCTTCCTCTGTGGCAGCCATACCTTGTAAAGTTGTTGATTAGTCAAAGGTTTTTGAAGAGAACTCAATCCTCCTGTGGTGTCAACAAGGTAACGTTATCCTCTCTTAACTGCGTGTAACTGTCTGCATTCTTGATTACATAAATGGACATCTGTGTTCATGGTGTAACATTTCTTCACTTTGTGTCGAGAAGATATCAGCTCGATTCTTGCATGGGAATGTTAGTTTTATAGGATATCAGTAACTTCGTTTTGTGATGGGGGGGTACTGTTTCCCACTCAGCCCATGGGTGATTGGTGGGTGTTCTGGTGTGGTTTGCTCTGTCTTTACTATCCTACATTTGTCGTCCTTATCTCTCCTCCTTTTCTTTGTATGTTATGCTCTATCCTTCTTATCTTTGGCACTTGTATGACCCATTTGAGTTGCGAGTGCTGTACAACTCTTACTAAAACTAGACAAACCGCTCAGCCCTCGGTGATATCTTTAAAATATTTTTCAGGTTCGAAGTGTATTGTGTTTTGTTTTTTTAAATATTTGTTGGAGATTTTCGAATTGGAGAGTTTCTTTACGGATACATTTGCTTTGAATTGTCCGTAAAAGATTGGGTTGTAAAAAAAATGATGATCTTTTCTTATGTAAGATGCTGATGCCTTTCTTAAAGCATCTCTCTCTCTGATAAATTTTAGTCAGAATTTACAATTTTGTTGTTTCCATATTTTATTGTGTTGAGATACCCATTTTATCCCTGACATATGATAATTCAAGTCTGATGAGACAGTTGCGTACTCTGTACACTAGAATACTAATGAGGAGTGGCTGTTTCTGAGATATTTATTCGAAAGGGTCTGCACTTGTTACAAACAGTGCTTCCAATTTTCCGCCATTTAAAAAAAAGTTTCCTCCAGACCTGATATGCCGATCCGATGCCCGCCGCCTCATTGATGGTTCCCCCCGCCCATGTTTCCAACTTTCTCACTTTCTCCGTTGTAAAAAGAAAATACACAACCAAATTCTACGTCTAGATCTATGTTGCATGGTCTTTTCTGAAACAGTGCTGTGAACATTAAGCTTAATCTACCTTTCACTGATTGAAGTTCTGATGGCCGAATGGTCAGCATGTTTGCGTTTGAAGTCTCACAATTATTATTTTATGAGAGTGGGATCGAATCCCGGTCCCGAAAGTTTTTTGTTGTTTTTTTCTTCCGACTGACTAGCGATTTGTTCCCATAATTATCATTTGTTACTTTGTAGTTTTTTATTTAGTGACGAAGCATGCACATTCTAGTGTTGTCCCCAGGAGCTTTTTACTTAAACTCGCAAAGTATGCTTTTCCTTTTACCAATTTTGGCCTGGTTAAAGTTAAATAATGGCTTTACTTGGTGTGTGAATCTCATTCTTTTTAAAATTTTAGGCTTAGAAAGGCCAAGTTTTAGCTCTTAAATTGCAAATTTTCTTCAGCTTCCGGAGGCCGTCAGCCCCCTGAACCCCCACTCAGGGCTTTGCCCTGGACCTACTGGGGGCCTGCTTCGGCCCAGACCCCCACCAATTTTTCCTCCATTTTGGGATTTTGCGTTTGGAAGCACTGTACAAAGTTTCTGGCCCCCCCCCCTTGGGGCGGTGCCACTGACTGAAGTGTCTTTAGGCCATTCCCAACTGGGGGACATTTCTCGTTCTTAGGCACAGTAGAATTGTAAATCGGCTGATCCAACAATGTCATGCTCATAACTGTGCCTGCACCGCAATAGGGAACTGCTGCTTTTTCTTTCTTAATCCTTACTATCGTCATTTTCCTCTTCTTCTTTTGTATGTTTGTCACACTCTTGTGACCCGCTATTTCTGGGGTGCCTTGAAAGGCAAAACAGACTTTGTGCTGTTGAAGTTAGAGAGGTGAGCGGAGTAAGCCGATTCCCTGTAAAGACATCTCTGTTGACAACCACCCCTTGGCTCTCATATGACCTTATACCGTTGCGAGCGCCGTAAAACCTTTACTGAATAAAAAATATTTTTAAAAAGTTTCTGGTACATGGAATTTACATTGCGAAGTTGTTTTTGTTTAGTTTGCTAAATTGGATCTGAACTTTCTCCAATTATGAGTGTTCAGAGGCTACTCCGAATAAGTTCCTTCTTCTTTCTGTTGATTTGACTTTTCCTCAGCCCAATTTTATAATAATGATTGCCATCGTGTCTGTGTGCTATGCCTGGTACAAGCAAGCTCATGTCCCTTGTGCTGTTCATATTGTTGATTGTTTTTAGAATTGCACCTGACCATTGACTTTTAAGTAACAAAATCAATTAAGTAGAAAGCTTGAAAGCTAGCAGATGGTTGGAGGGCGCTACTGGTAGGTCGTGCTTCTTTACTTTCCCCCTGTTGTTACTGTCTGTCTTTCTTACTTTTTCTCAGCACTAAATGGCCATTATTTTGTTGATGTGCTTCTCTTTACACAAACAAAACTAGAAGGCTAACATTACCGAGACACAAACCTAGCTGAGCCTCTATAAATATCATCTTGCACCTTCCTCCCCTCCCCCCAAAAAAATTGCTGTTCATTTAGTACTAAACAGATACATTCTTTAATATATGTGAAAATGTGTTTTACACAGGCAATAAGCATTACAAATACGAAAGTCTTAAGTAAGGGTGGTTTTACATAGCAAATAACAATCAGTTTTATGGTGCAGCAGTTGACCTTGGAAGTCAAAAAGCCCATCGTGAGCCATGTATGTGTGCTACTCGTGTAGACATTTGACTGCTGGGGTAGTGATTTTTTTTTTGACTTCTGTCGTTGTTTTGGATAATAATACCCCATTTCATGAAAAAAGAAAAAGCCAAACAAATTTTATGTTAAGCGTGGAAAACATAAAGTACTTGTCATTGTGCTTCTACCACCTCATTTTAATATTTGATTAATTGACCTCTTTAAGGCCGCGGGTGAATAGGCTCCTGTGCTGTGGGGGAAGTCCCATGAATCGAGGCTGCTCAGGGGTGACCGCACTCCTAAGTCCCATAACTTTTTTATTTCGGAATATTTTCTCATGAATTTCTGTGTGTACATTCTACATTGAACAACATTTCTATTGATATAATTTTTTGGGGGGGGATTTCATTTAGAGATAGATGGAGAAAAATTGGAATTAGCAACATGATATCAAAAACAACACCAAACAACATAAAACAACACACATTCGAGTAATGATAAACTGAGACCAAAAAAGGAGAATAGATCAACATGTTGTGTGAGTGTCTGCAGGTAAAGAGGAAGTGACAAGAGGCTTTTCTTACCTTATACAACGCTCGTACAATCCATATATGCATGTAAGCCCATCTGTGTCACACAGCTTCTAGGATACGTGGAATTCTTTAACTCTACGGGTCCTTATTTTTCCTCAATGAAGCCCAAGACAGTGAAGTTTATAGTGAGTCTTAAATTTTGATAGAAATCTAAGAAAGGTAAAAAGTCATATGGCTCAAGAGTTTTTATTATTACTCCTCGCATCGACAGTACGCTAATAGGGGTAGAGTGTGATATGCATTTAACTTGTTTGCAAACTTGTGTATTTTTATCTTTGCATATTACATCTGTCGTTACTGTACTAGGTTTTGTGTTTCTGAAAATGGTAGTTGAAGAATACATAACAGATAGCCAACAAATTTTTATTTGTTCAATAATGTATCCACTATTCCATTTTTTTAATGGCATTGATAAAGGGTGATGAATACTTTTAAGAACAGAAACTTTGTTGTTTTTATTGATACAACAGCTTGTGGACTTTTGACACACACCACTTGGGGAAGAGATTTTTTCATGATGATTGGAATGCTTTTCATTTCATATACATTTAGTGGATGAATGTTAGATGTCATTATAGCTGATGTGTATACCCTGTGAACTTGAAGGCGTCGGCTGCACCAGTGCAGGTGGTTGGAAGGTGCCACTGGTAGGTCTTACTTCTCTCTCCCTCTGGTGTTTCTGTCTGTCTTGCTTTCTCTCTGCTCTAAATGACCATAATTGTGCTGATGTGCTTCTCTTTGTTCAGACAAACAAGGTGCACCAGTGCCTGCTTTTGTTAGTCTGTTCCATCTATAATTGTTCTTGTGCATTTATTTTTCTGTCGTTTCATTTCACAGTTGAGGCCGCGCAGTACCCACGAGCATGACGAATACCTGGACAAAAGTAGCCAGTCGTTTGACTGTGAGCCATCACCCCCTGTGACGCGCAAGACAGGGGGCTCGTACACGAACCTCTTCGACTCGAGCGCCAACCATCACCCGCCGCAGACGACTGCCGTTGGAGCAACCCTGAATGCCACGTCTCTGCACAATAATGCTAAGCGACCAGGTTCTCCCCCAAGCCTCAGGCCAGCCCAGTCCCGCAACACTTACGAGAGAGCATCTGGAAAGTCTGGTGCCTACAATGTACAGAATGGTGGGAGCCTCGGCCACTTCAAAGCGCCCATCGTTGTCGGAGAAGACGACAGTATTCAGTACAATGACCGGTCAGCCATCAACAGCCCGAGTATGAAAAGGAGTGTTTCTTCCAATGAGAGGGGCATCCAGAGTCCCAGCATGGATCGGAGCTTACCACCTCGTGCCCCGTCGTCAAAACCTTCACCACGCGTCACTTCCCCCAACCATCCCACGTCCCCAACCCCGGGATCTCATTGGGGGCGCCCCCCTCACTCACCTTCCCCGGCTCGTGGAACTGGTTCGGGTGAGAATGCCACTGGAGCTGGCATTCGTTCGGCTTCTCCTATTAAAGACAGGGCCAGGAATTTCTATCCAAGTCGGTCTAGAGAAAACCTGGCCCGCTCTCGTGAACAGTTGAATCAGTCTCGAGAGTCTCTGTCGAGCTCGAAAGCTGGGACTGATAGTTACTCTGGCACTTTTGGAAGCAAAGCAGCTGGTCCCAGGGATCAGTTTAGTCGTTCCAGTGATAGAATCAACCATACGCAAGACCCCTTAGAGCGGTCGAGGGCCGATGGGATGTCTCCTGCAGACAGGTCAGGCCACTTTGCCCGGGGCGGGCAGGGCAAGTCGAGGGATTATGTGGATTACTCAGGGACAGGAGACAGTTTTTCTGGTGGCGTCAGAGACTCTCAGGGACGCCATGACATTTACCGCAGAGATGAGGCCTCCTCGTATGGCCACCAGCACTCTCACAACGGGAGGGATGCTTACAAAGAACTGCCTCGTCAGAGTTCTGAAACGCACGGCAGTAAACACCAGCAGCCAAGGGAGAGGGACCGTTCCAAAAGCTTTGATTTTGACTCTCCCCGGGAAAGATCCAGGTCCAGGGATCGTGCTGCCATGATTCGAGAACGCAGCCTGCCTCGGAATCTGTCCGAGCCGGCCAAGGCGGGCTATGGAGATGGGGAGAGTGTGAAATCTTTGTCCTATGTACCTTCTAACCAATCTGCACAGACTCTCTCAGGGTACCCTGTGCTGCCCAACACTCACCTGAGCGGGGGCAGTATAGGCCGGCCAGGCGCTACATCATCACTTCCTGCAGGCAGCAGCAGCAGCTCTCCACGCTCCCCGTTGTCATCTCGCTCGGCGGCCACCTACCCCCATCACCACCACCACACCCACCAGTCAGCCCTTATGCCTGCGGCCCCTCCCCCCAGCAGCAATATGAATACAGCGGGCGGGAGCGGGCCCTCCCCCTCCTCCGCCTCCTCCCATTTTGCTCAGCATTCACCCCACCCATCCAGCTCCTCGTCACGGCATCCCAGTCAATCTTCCGTGTCCACCCACCCGGACTCTATCCGGCCCATGTCCTTTGTGCGGGCCATGCAGGTCACCGACGCTGTTGAGATCCGAGACAAGCGGATCAACGAGAGGCTGCGGCGGCAGAGCCAATCCTCCCGCAACGAGAGTGCCAAGAGCGTCTACGACACCTATGAAGCATCTGTGTGATAGACGAAACGGGCAGAAATAGTGTTGTGGATTTTTCTGATGGATTGACTGATATTTAATTGATTTGTTTTCTTCGTTGGTTATTGTGAGCAATGTAAAGTGGACTGTTGCTCGGTTGATCTGTATGCCAATATGAGGTACATGTGTTTTTTGGTTTTCTTTTAAAATCTCTGCTCATCTGCGTGTTGTTAAAATGAAGTTTGTATGTGTTCCACTCTCTTGAATGCATTTGTCATTTGACACGCTAGTAAGTGCTCATGGTTGAACTGTTAAGTCACTGGGAGCAGGGGGTATAGTATTTATTAGCGATTTGATCCGAAAATCGGGCTGCACTGGGGTGCGGATTTTGGGTCCCATTCTGAATCAGAGGCATCTGGTTTCTTAGTTTAGTTATAGGAATACCTGTGGACGAAAATGAATGAAACTTGGCAACCTATCAGAAGAAAGGCATAACTTATGATGTCCATGTGTGTACAATGTGGACAGATTTCTAGAACCTGAGAAATTGCTGTGTTTGTGCAATTTTCTTCTGTTTTTAAAAAACTAAGAGGTGTTGCCGTGTCGTCATTAAGCAGACAAGCACTCCTCGTGTCTTCTTTTTTGCAGTAAAATTTTCTGATCCCTGTGTGTAGTACATTTTAGGTCTCACCAACTTAAAATTGCCACCCATCTAGCGATAGAAGATGAGCCAGAAACTGAATGTGCTAACTTTGGAGCATGCAAAAGTTGAGTGATCTTGAGGTAGCATGCAATTGGCTGCCTGAAAATAAATAGGTCACAAGAGTTTGTTGTTGGGTTTTTGTTATATTCGCTTTTAAGTTGTTATAGGGGGTGATCGCAGAACAACACTGATTCTTATAAGCCCAAAGTTATCATTTCAGTAACAAGTGAAGTAAATTCAATTAATTGCTGCCCAGTATATATTGCAACATTTGTCTAAAAGTAGTTTTTAAGCAAAGATTGGTTGAAAACTTATGAAATCAGGTAACGATTCTGCACTGAAAATATCACACAGATGCCAAGTTTCATTTACATGTATTCATATTCATAATTGATTTGTGAACAGTTTTCCCTTAAAATACATCAAGAAGCATCCCACTTTTTGGCAATATTTTATTACATGATAAAGATACGTAAAAATTTTGCAACAAAATGAAAAGTTTACTGCTCTTTCATTTAAACTTGTTTTAACCCTTCATTGCTGAGATGTTTCCATTTATGTTTGTTCAGAAAAGACAAAATGTTCTTTCAAGAGAGGTTTAAATAAAGCTTTAAATAAATCTTTCCCAATATCAAAGAATAAACAACTGCACAAGCTGTGATTACTTGTCTTGAAACATCCTTAATAAACGGTAAAACCAGTTTTTAAAAATGGCAGACAATCAGGTTTGGGAAACACATACACACCACTGAAAAGGTTACAGCAATTTGAATAAACTGTAGTTTTTCGTTGTCATTTCTATTTATATTATTTATTGCATATAGAAGTGTTTTGTTTTTGGGAGGAGGTTCCCCCCAAAAGTATTTTCAGGTAAATGATGCGTTAAGTTTTGTGAGATGCCTTGAGTTTCAAATGAATGATGCCCATTTTGTTTTGAATTTGTGTTTTTAAGCTTTGTTTTTCAAAATTGAAGCTTTTCCTGTTCATTTTTATTGTTTTCTTTCGCATGTTTTCCTTTCTAAAGGTGTGAAAGTTGTTGGATTTTTTTAATTTGTAGAAAAGTCTTGAATATTTTTTAAGCTGTGTATTTTTTTTAAAATTTAATATTTATGTCAATGCTTCGTTCTTCCTCTTGAGTCTGAGAAACAGTAGTGAGCTTAAGTTAAAAGTGTTTATATGACTTTATATGAATAAAAAGCAACTTGTCTGTACTGAGCTAAAAGCAAACAATTGTACCATTTGCCATGACAGTTCATCTTTACATTGCCTGTATGAAGCACTGAGGACCTTTGTTACTTTCTAGTTTTATATCTGCCAGTCATTGAAATGGTGATTCTTTCTGTTATGTTTGTTATTGTTGCCTTTGGGGGGAGGAGGGTGAGACAAGGCTTTGATTTTAGTGGGCGCAGCTTCAAATGAATATATCTTTGAGACATTTTTTAGAATGCAGCAACGTATGAAGCCTTTGACTCATTGGGCACATCTTTCATTTATAGCCATTTTTTAGTGCTGAGAATAAATCAAGATGTGTATGATCTTGACAAATCTGGCAGAGGCAGTGATACAGTACCTGACAAGAAGCTTGGCTTTTGTTTGTTAAAGAGAAGACAGTTATTAAGACTTGGGAATTATGTTTGGCATTCAGGTTCAATTTTGCAACATATTTAATATTTATCACTTGGAAGACTACATGACCTTGTCTGTATTTTTGAATGCTCATGATGAAAACCTGGTTTTGATACTTTTAAGAATGGTGTGTAATCTGGTGGTGACATCTAATGATTTTGTATGGGAAATATTTTGTGTGTAAAAATGAGTGTTCTTTTAATTTAGTTACTTCTGGCATTCCAGACATTTTTTCCCCTCTCTTTGATTTCTTACAGTTGTAGATTTGTCCACAGAAATATTTGAATTATTTGACAGTTCCCCCCAATACTGGTTTATTGAAACAATGTAGTCTTTTTTGCAATAAGATTCTGGGTGTCAACTTCCAGTTCGACTAGGTTACCTGTTTGATGTGCTAATGGCTTTTTTTATATGTAGTGTAAGCAGTTTTATTAAGATGAATTTTAAATGCGATATGTGCCTTTAGTTTTGTCCCATAAATTCGAGTTAGCTCCATTAGACACTGCCATTTGAAGGTAAATTTTAGTATGCATATAAATGCCCTTAGGTCAGCAAGATATTTGAGGGTTTCTTGCAATGTTTTTGGAATTTAGTATTGATTCTAAATCCACCACAATGTTTTATTTTTTTTTTATTGGGTAGCCTATAGCTTCAAGCCATGAGACAGAAGTGGTACATAAAAGCTAAATGTTCATTTTGGTTTAGTATTATAATAACTATAATTTGAAGTGCAGAATTATTTTTTTGAAAGGGATGAGAACAAGTACATGTACATGTGATAAAAAATTGGAGTGCTTTATCTCAAGCTGTGCTTTGATAACATGATTGAAAAAACATCTTTAAGGGTATATATGACTGGTTGGTTGTGTTAAACTGAATTGCAGAGTTATACAGGAAACCAGGGAAATAACTGCCACACTTTTTTTTTACCAGGTTTGACCTATGCTTTGAGTAGTTTGTTACAGATTGGTGCTCAAGGAAAATCAATTTATGTAAAAGATTTCTAGAGTAATTGGAGGTTTGGTGTAACACTTTGATGATTAGTCTTCAGTTATTCTTTATTCTTTTTCTTTTGGATTAAAATGACTGCAAGAATTTGCAGATTGCACACATCGGTGTCTGTATTAGTTTCACACAAGGGCTATTGCTGTCAGAAATGTTCGCCTGTGTTGGTTTGTGTGAGTGGGGTTTTTTTTCACTTCCTTCCTCTTATCCCAACTGATATTTCTCTGAGCCAAGAACAATGTTGTTGAAATCTGATGTGTATCTAAAACTGAAAATGTTGACAGTGGGTTGATGAATCTTTTTCTTGCACCTTGTTATTAAATGTGTTTTACATCATCTGAATTCCAGTGTGCTTGTCTTGCTCTACTCAAGTATGGAGAAAAGTGTGGAAAAGTTTTTGAAGGTATTATGTCACTTTGTACTGGGATGAAGATTGAAACTTGGTTTCTTAAAGTGGTTTTGTTATTCTCTTTTCTTTAAGCTGCACTGTGTTGTTCTTTTTCAAGGAAGAGTGTCAGAAAGAGCAAATTAGTTCTTATTTTGAAATGTGTACTTAAGTCCCGAATGTCAAAATTCGATTGAGATACATTTTTAATTTGGTCAGCTCTACCATCACTACTACCAGTAATGTAATTGCTTTGTCGTTTTTAAAAGAATCAAACGGGCGTTAAATGAGATATATGCTTGACTTATTTATTTATTTTGTTTGATTTTATTGCAAATAAGAGTAGTGGGACAATTGGTGTAGTGGCCTTTATCTCCTTATCTTCGGTAAGCCGCTCTCAGTGGCTTGCGGTCGGGAAGCGCTGTGACGGTGAGCCGCTTGTAACATCTCGAGCATGTTCATTTATGACGACTTCGACATCGGATTACTTTTCGGCAATAGCCGAAAACAAGTCTCCTTTACCAGGAGTTCATTCATTAGATGAACGAGCAAAATAGGTCCACTTGTTTTGATTTAATGGCCAGTCTAGTGACGATTTGTTACTCTTAGATTTTACGCCAAAAAAAAGGGGCTATATAGTGGGTTTACTCCCACTGGAGATAAAGAGTTAAGATACAAGTCTGATACATACCTCTTTGCATGGTGCACAAATGGCTTTTAGTTTATGTCAAGTACAAATAGCTTTCTTCTATCCTGTTCTGTCATGTAGATCTTACTTTTGTCCTGTCATGTGCAATGTTCACATCTCACTTTGTCCTGTCCTGTCACTGACCTGCCAACCTTCCTCAGTTTATAACGAAATTAGACGGCATTTCCTCAGGTCCGTATAATGTCCTTTTTCTGTTTGATTGAAACACATTGAAAAATTTTCTTTCTTCGTTTCTCGTTCTAATGCACAGTAGAATTGTAAATGGGCTGATCCAACAATGTCATGCTCATAACTGTGCCTGAACTACAATAGGGAACTGCTTCTTTTTCTTTCCTAATCCTTACTATCGTCATTTTCCTCTACATCTTTTGTATGTTTGTCACACTCTTGTGACCCGCTATTTCCGGGGTGCCTTGAGGTGGACTTTGTGCTGTTGAAGCTAGTGAGGTGAGCAGAGTAAGTCTGATTACCTGTAAGGACTTCTCTGTTGACATCCACCCCTTGGCGCTCATATGATCGTATGCAGTTGCGAGTGCCGTAAAACCTCTACTAAAACATCTCTTAAGTTTTCAGTGCACTGTAAACAAAACTTGATAAAGCTTGTTTCCTGGGTGGAGCCCTACTTTTACAGTAGTGGCGATTTTTTTTTCGGAGTGGCTTTTCGCCCGATGTCGGGTGGCTAGCATCAGGCTACTCGCCCGATGTAGGATTTTGGCGGATGTTCCGGGCTTTATATTATAAAAGAAAAGACTTCCCCCATCTACCTAACTTTTCTCCCAGTTTATCAGTGGCATTCACTGGATCTATTGACACCAAATATGATTGGATTTCCATTCTCTTTCTCCCTGAATACATCTACAAAGAGAACAGTACCAAAGAAAGACGTACTTTTAGGAAAGGCTCATAGATCTATAGATCTAATAGTCTTGTCAGATTGTTACTGGTTACATTTCTAACGTGAAAGTTTGACTCTGACTGCAATTATCTGACCAAATTGACATTATTATAATACATGTCATGTATAAAGATGGGACTGACCATAATGTGTACCATAATGACTTGCACCGACGCAGAGAGAAAACAACAGGAATCAATAATTCTAATAACAACCCCCCTTCTCTCTCTCTCTCTCTCTCTCTCTCTCTCTCTCTCTCTCTCTCTTTCTCTCTCTCTCTCTCTCTCTCTCTCTCTCTCTCTCTCTCTCTCTCTCTCTCTCTCTCTCTCTCTTTCTCTCTCTCTCTCGTTCTCTCTCTCTCTCTCTCTCTTTCTCGTTCTCTCTTTCCCCCCCCCCCCCTTCTGCCCGAAGACAAAATTTATCGCTTTTAACGCAGCGCTGGAACGTTTGTTTACGCTCGTATCACGGGCCGTCACGCGCTAAGAAGACGAGGTAGATCTAGCGTCCAAGTCTCGTTCAGACGCGAGAAAGGGCAATTGAAACATTTTGGTAGTAGTTAGACAATCTTTAATAACATCGCGGCGCTGCATTTCTATTGTTGATAACTTTATCAGCGGCATTCCAATGAATGATAATAATTTAATAAAGGCTGATAGATCTAGGGGATCTATAACAATGTAGTCAACTCGCGAGGGAAACCTCAGAAGACAACAAAAATAAATGGCGGAAAAGCATCATCTATGATCTATTTTGGGCCAATCACAGAGGCGTGCTAGGTACTCTCAATAGCTTCATGTCGCTCAGAAGGCCGCGATGCCCACTACGGATGGGATCGCCCAACTTGGTCGCCTCAAAAACAATTTCAGTTTCAGGCGATCGAGTCGGGCGATCGGCCCGATCCAGCCGTAGTGGGCACCCCACTATAAGACTAAGATTAGATCTAGGTGACCAGCTCCAGGTGGGCAGAAGATGCTAGCCACCCTAGGTCGCAGAAATCCCCTCGGGCCAGTAGCGTCAGGCTTCTCGACCGAATTTGGTAGAATAGCCTGACGCTAGCCACCCTAGATCGGGCGAGTACATGTAGTCTGACGCAAGCCACCCGACATCGGGCGAGTAGCACCAGCCTTTTTTTTTCCTAGGTGTGGCGTCTACTTCTTTGGCTTTGTTCCTACATTACTGGCAAACAGTTTGCCTCCCTGGCCATTATCAACCAAACAATACAAATAGTTTTAACTTTTTCAAATATTTGGCAGGATTTTGCTACAACAATCTTAGAACTAGTTTGAGAACATTGCATTTCCAGCAAACAAATAAGATGATCCCTACAGCCTGCCAAAATTACCGACACTCTTATAAACGAGCAATATCGATCAGGTTTGCGTGCGCTGGTGTATATGATTCTCTTGCTCTTGTGGGGGGGGGGGGGGGGGTAGCAGGTGCTGTAGAGTGGTTTGCTTCTTATTTCCTATCAAACGTACTCATATATTGTCTTTATCTCTCCTCCTTTTTATGATTGTTATTCTCTTGTAACACCACCTCTTATCTTCGGCACCTACAGGACCTTGTGTTGTAAGTGCCATAAAACTATTACTATAACTTAAATTGAAACAATTCTTGCGCCAGCACCTCGTGAAATGTTATCGTGTACTTTGACCCATAGTCAGTTATTGGTTCCGAACACTTAGTCATAGGTGGTTGGCAGGTACTTGGTGTGGTGTGTTCCTTCTTTGTTATGTATAAATTGCTCTCATCTCTCCTACTTTTCTTGTATGTACCTCTCTTGTAACATCTATCGTCTGGACTTATGCCTTATTGTGTTGCAAGTGCAGTAAAACAATTACTAAAACTGGCAAATAATTATTCGTCTTAAACCTACTTCAGGCCAGTGGATAATAATATTGTATTAATAATAATAATAATGAAGTGTGTTTTTATAGCGCCTACTCCCGTGTACGAAAAGCTCTAGGCACTTTATATCAATCAAGGTACAAAACAATAATGAAAAAAGCACAGAGTCACACAGTCACACACTCTTATTCATGCGCACACGCACACGCACACGCACACACACACACACACACACACACACACGCCTTGTTCCTCTTCACAGGCGCAGTCATATATACATCATTATGAACGAGCCATACAAAACTTATTGTAATACATACACAATGTCTTGATCAGATGCTACTTTTTCTTCTGCATTTATTATGCCTTTCTTTTTTTTTTCTTCATACATATGCATAGTATGCATGGCATCAGTTTTTATAGTGCTTGTGGGTGGAGGCTCTGCTGGTAGGTTCGGTTTGATATTGCTGGGCTGTTGGCAAGTGCTGTGATGCGGTATACTCTTTCTTTTCTATTCTTATCAAACATCAATTGTCATAATCTCTCCTCCTTTTCTTTACATGTAACTCTTGTATCGCTTCTAGTTAGTTATTGCAAGTGTTGTAAAACGCTTACCAAAACAAAAACTAAAACATAATCTTTGGCACTCACTGGACTCTTTCTAGTACTAAGCTTTCTTGTACGTTTGTCCAGTGTCTTGCTGCATTGTTAGCTCAGTACTCTATCTGATTAGTATTGTGTCCATGTGATTGCTTGTAGCTTTAATAGCACACCAACTAAAGAGTTCACTCAATAATACAAGTGTTGAGTATAGCCGCAGGGCTGCCCACCATTACAAATTTTACGGTACTCTACTCATGATTTTTGTTCAATTTTTCAAAAATACAATGGTAATACCTCTGATTCCGATTTTGTGAAAAATTTTGGCAGCCCCAAACCCCTGCGAACCTCACTGGCCTAGAGGGGAGAAGGACGGAAAAATTACCTGACCCAGACAGTTTACATCACTACATCACGTGCAGCTGTCTCACTCTATCACTATCAGTATTGCATTGCGCATTTGTAGTCGCTCAGTGTCATTTTCCCTTAAATAAACATTAGTTTAATGTTTCAGAAGTGCCAAAGTCAAGAGTAAGGCAAAGATTAGATTGACTAAGTGTTAACAAATTCCTGCCCTTTTGTATCGCCACGCCTTTGTTTATGTAACATTTACACTATACTGAACTACAATCCCTGTCCTTGACACTCCTTTGAAGAAAATTTTCCAAGGCCGTATTACCAATTTTTAAGCCAGTTTACTACTTTTCTATCTGTTGATTACTAAAACATTTTATTCTGGTGGGTGGGCAGCCTTGTAACTGCCCTTGTTCAAATTTCACAAACAATGCTCTTTTTATGAAATGTTGGGTGGGTGGTTTTAGGGCGCCACTGGTAGGTCCTTTGTTTTTTTTCATACCGTCTGCTGTTTCTACCTGCCTATCTGTCTCACTTTTTCCTGCACTATA